ACTTTTTATGACGTTGGCTAATACTTTTTCTGCATCTTTTATGATGACCGTTGCTTTTTCTTCTTTGATCAGCAAATGTAATGAATTTGCATTCCTGGAGGATAAATCCACTTATTTTTAATGTATTATTCTTTTTACGTATTTTCAGATTTGATTAAATTATGGTAACGATTTTTGCATCTTTGTTTGTCTTGGAGACTTTATTAGTTTCCTTTCTTGTAATAACCTTGTTGGATTCTGCCTTCAGAGTTATGCTTGCCCTGTAAAATGAGCGGTATGTCGTCTTTTCTGTGAAGGAGTTGGTTGTACAAGTTTGGTATTACTACTTTTTTGGCGTTTGGTTGAATTCACTAATGAAACAGTTTGGGGCAGTAGTTTTCTTTGTAAAAAGTTCAGAAATTACAAATTCAGTTTCTTTAACGGACATATGGCCATTTAGGTAGTTTATGACTTCTGTCCATTTTGAAAGGTTGTGGTTTTCAAGGAGTTTGTCTTTTTCATCTATGTCGTCACATTTTAAAGTTGTTTGTTCCCTTGTTCTTCCTTTAGTGTCGGTGGGCTCTATCTCAGTATCCTTTCCTTTAGTCTGGATGTTGATGATTTGTGAGGGAAGGAAAGCATTGATCTAAGCCTGAGATTAGATTCCTGGAATTGGTAACAGCTATTCCAAAACCTTTCAATTTAGCACTTAATTTTTTTTTTCTTTTGTAAGGCAGGGTCTCACTCCGTTGCCCAGTCTGGAGTACAGTGGCATAATCCTGGTTCACTGCAGCTGTGACTCCCTGGGCTCAGGTGATTCTCCCACTCAGTCTCCCAAGTAGCTTGAACTATAGGTGTGTGCCACCACACTTGGCTAATTTTTTTTTTTTTTAATAGAGTCCAGGTTTTGCTGTCTTGCCCATGGTGAGGCCCTTGACTGATTCTGGAACTCAACTTTGAGAGTTGAAGTCCTCTCTGAGAAGAGGATGAGAAAATAAATGGGAGGGAGCTGACATGAGGGACTGGGTAATTCATTTCCAGGCTGTGTGGCTGCACTGATGGGAGCTGGGATCTGAGCAATGAAGATACCATGGGCTTGTGAGGCAGAGGGGAGTGTGTCCAGCTTGTGGGAGCAATGTCTTGGTTGCACTAAGCTTAATCAACTGGCACCTGTGTTCCAGATTACTTGACAATGAACAGTTGACTCGGTGGCATTTCATTATAATATTTAAAGGAGAGTTCAGCCAAGCAGCAGTCAAAAATAGCAGACTATTTCAATAGATTCTACTTTTTGAGCCATTTTCACTCAACCTGTTTATGTGATGATTCTAAAAATCGTTGCAGACATTTTTTTTTAAAGATTTTGGATGATTTGTGTCAGGATATTATATTAATCAATACTAGCTGTGATTTTTTGTTGTCGTTGTTTTGTTTAAGAAGGAGTCTTACTCTGTCGACCAGGCTGGAGTGTAGCAATGATGTGATCTCAGCGCACTGCAACCTCCGCCTCCCAGGTTCAAGCGCTTCTCCCACCTCAGCCTCCCAAGTAGCTGGGGCTACAGGTGCGCACCACCACACCCAGCTAATTTTTGTATTTTTAGTAGAGACGAGGTTTCACATGTTGGCCAGGCTGGTCTCGATCTCCTGACCTCAGGTCATTTGTCTGCCTTGGCCTCCCAAAGTGCTGGGATTACAGGAATGAGCCACTGCTCCTGGCTTCTCTAGCTGTGATTTTTACATTTTGTTCTGTGCTTTGCCTACATGGTAATTGGAGTGATCTATAATCTCACCTCTCTTTTACTTGCTGACAGTTGAATGGACAACTTTGACTTTATCTCTACTGATTGTTCAAACTTTGCCTTGCTTTTTGATTTTTAAATTTTTTTCTTGGGTGGTGGTTGTCACGTTCAGTTTCTTGAAGTAGTTTTTGAAAACTCTGGAGGTTTTCTTTAGCATAACTTTAATTTTAAACAAATGATACTATGTTTGTTATTGAAAAATTCCAGCAATATAGAAAAGAACAAAGATAGCAGAAAAAATTCATGCAGTCATCACTGTGAAATAACCATCAATGAGTGAGATTCATTCAAGAGTGTCTATGTAGTGTACCTCTGTGTGTATACAGGGAGAGGGCCTGATTGACAAATAGCTTCCCATTAAGGAATAGTACTATACACACTTTTTTTTTTTTTTTTTTGCAAGTTTGTTGTGTTTAATATAATAACATCAATTTAAAATTAGAAAAGCAAGCCAAAGTGAAATAAGAAATTGTTGAACATAAAATATTTCTTTATCCTAATAAATATGTTTCTAGAAACTCTCTAAAAGGTTGAGAAAATATGAGAATAAGAAGTGGGAATCAGCTGGGCACAGTGGCTCATGCCTGTAATCTCAGCACTTTAGGAGGTGGAGGCAGGAGTTTGAGACCAGCCTGGGCAACGTGGCGAGGCCTTGTCTCAAAAAGAATACAAAAATTAGCTGGGCATGGTGGCGTGTGCCTGTAATCCCAGCATTTTGGGAGGCCGAGGCGGATGGATCACGAGGTCAAGAGATCAAGACCATCCTGACCAACATGGTGAAACCCCGTCTCTACTAAAAATACAAAAATTAGCTGGGCATGGTGGTGCGTGCCTGTAATCCCAGCTACTCAGGAGGCTGAGGCAGGAGAATTGCCTGAACCCAGTAGGCGGAGGTTGTGGTGAGCCGAGATCACGCCATTGCACTCCAGCCTGGTAAAAAGAGCGAAACTTCGTCTCAAAAAAAAAAAAAAAGAATACAAAAATGAGCTGGGAGCTGGGCATGGTGATGTGTGCCTGTAGTCCTGGCTACTGGGAAGACTGAAGTGGGAGGATCCCTTGAGCCCACGAGGTCAAGGGGGCAGTGAGCCAAGATTGCACCATTGTACTCCAGCTTAGGTGACGCAGTGAGACCCTGTTTCAAGAAGAAAAATTAAAAAGTTGAAATCACTTTAACTTGAAAAAAAAGAAAACTTCATGTTTCTATTTTAGATGATAGTGGTCAGCAACCTGCTATGACATCGGGAAAAATAAATTATGTAACACTTCCTTTTCTTCTCTCCCAGTTTTTGTTATGGTTTTGGTTTTTGGTTAGTTTTGTTGGTGATTCTATTAGTTATTTTCTATAACCATATTCCCTCCATTGTTTACTCTCACTTACATGATTACATAGATTTACTGCCCTCTGTAATTTCTCTTACCATAGTCCCCTCGGTCCCAGGTTCTTTATTTTGATTTGAAACTTGGCTGGCTGTATTTTAACATCAAGCATTTTTTTCCAGGAGGGCCTCAGAGATGTCAGATTCCTTACATTTTTTGAAAACTTAATTGCCTTTCTTCTCACCTCACCTTAGTTAAAGCCTTTATAGTCTTTTTAAATTCCAACTTCTATGGATAATATCAAATCTCTTCCCCTCGAACCCCAGTCAGCCTCCTTTGAGACCCCTTCGTCTTATTGTTCCAGTATGAATTGATGACTCTCCACAGTCTGCATTTCTGAAATGGTAATTTAAATGATGTTTATTGACCCCAAGGAATTTTGGTTTTCAGTGTGGTATGCTGTCAAGGGGAAAATCAGTGAAGGTTTGTTTGTCGAATAACCTGAGAAAGCACAGTTGCCAACTCTGCACACTGTTTTTGATCTTGCTCTTTGTCATTTAATATGTCTTAAAGATGTGTCCACATAAGTATACAAAGATCTCTTCTTTCTCTTTGTTTTTATTTCATTAAGCGATGGGTCTCGCTCTGTCATTCAGGCTGGAGTACAGTGGCATCCTCTCAGCCGAGTGCAGCCTCAAACTCCTGAGTTCAAGTGATTCTCTCCACTCAGCCTGTCACCACAGGCACACCACCATGCACAGCTAATTTTTTATCTTTTTTTTTTTTGTAGAGAGAGGGTCTTGCTAAGTTGCCCAGGCTGGTCTGAAACTCCAGGCCTCAAGCGATCCCCACACCTTGGTCTCCCAAAGTGCTGGGATTGCAGTGTGAACACTGCTCAGCCCTTCTTTCTCTTCAATGGCTGTGTGATCAATATAGTCCACTGAACAGATGTCCTGTGCTTAAGTTAATGCTACTGAAGGGCATTTAGGTTACTTATAAATGCTTGCCATTCCTGACTGTGCTTTGATGAAAAGCTTTCTATCTGTGCCATTTTTTGAGTATATTTGTAGGATCAGTTCCTACAAATGAAATTTTTGTGTCAAAGGGTAGATGCTGTTGTTTTAATATGAAATAACTTATAGACACAAAGATTTATAATTTGTACGTAGGGAGGAAAGAAAGTAGACACTGGTGCACCGCCCTGCTACTCAGTTGAAGAAACTGAGCACTCCCAGTGGCTTTGTCGAGAGAGAGAGAGAGAGAGAGAGAGAGAGAGAGAGAGAGAGAGAGAGAGAGAGTGTGTGTGTGTGTGTGTGTGTGTTTGAAATGGGGTTTCACTTTTGTTGCCCAGGCTGGAGTGTGGAGTGCAGTGGTGCAGTCTTGGCTCACTGCAAACTTCACCTCCCTAGTTCAAGTGATTCTCCTACCTCAGCCTCCTGAGTAGCTCGGATTACAGATGCATGCCACCACCCCTGGCTAATTTTTTGTATTTTAAGTAGAGTCGGGGTTTCACCATGTTGACCATGATGGTCTCAATCTCTTGACCTCATGATCCACCCGCCTCGGCCTCCCAAAGTGCTGGGATTACAGGTGTGAGCCACCGCGCCCGGCCGCCTGGCTAATTTTTATATTTTTAGTAGAGACGATGTTTCACCATTTTGACCAGGCTGGTCTCAAACTCCTGACCTGCAGTGATCTGCTCACCCTGACCTTCCAAAGTGTTGGAAGTACTGGCATGAGCCACCAAGCCAGGCCTCCCAACACACTCACTTATACATTGTTTCATGAAAATGTTTTCCTTTGCCACTCTGATAGGTGAAAAGAGATACCTTTTTGAGGATAAATTGAAACGTAAGACTACATTTTGTGAGCAACCCTAATTTACCACTTGTTTTTCGTTTGTAGCCTGAGACCTCAGATCATTGTTCCCTCCCAGAGGATCTAGTGAGTATTTCTGCATGTTCTGGATTGGAGTTAATTGTGCCTTTGTTGATAAGTGTTATAAGGAAATGACAGTAACACTTTTATGAATTTTTTTCTCTTTGGTTGCTGATAGTGACTTTTTAATCTAACTTGGTAACAATATTATGAAAATGTTAGCAATAGTGATATTATGGGTAATCCTGTCCAAACTTTAAAAATAAAGTTATATTGCTTTTCATTGAAAGGAAATAAAGAGGAAGACGGAGCTCTCCTGCCTTGCTCTAGGGCTCAGGCTTGCTGTACTTGTTTTTCAAGGGTGACATTGTGACCTTTTCTCCACTTGAGTCCTCCTAAGAAAAGCACGGGAGGGCCACAGTTTGATTGTCTTGGCCTGGATTCAGCTGCAGGAGGTTCTTAGGCATTCTGACCTCAGCATGACAGCTTTGTCCTGTCCTCGCCTAGGTGTGGAAGGGGGATGCAGTACTTCCAGGTGGCAAAGCTGGTCACATTTCCTGTGTCTCCATAAGATTTTGCTACCTGAGTTGACAGACTTCAGTGTACCTTGTAACCAGATCCACTGGCTATTTCAGAAAATAGTTTTTAAAATTTTGGGTTTCTCGAGTTTCTGGAATTCTGAGTCATTCTGATTTTCAGTGATTCAGGATTGGATTATTCTAATGTCTGAAACTCAGGAACTACAATAGCTTTTCAGGCAAAGAGAGCATTGTCTTTTAACAAATCTACTTTAAATCCATTCTGTTACATAAAAGGGTGTGTGTATGTATATTAGTCCTTTCTCATGCTGCTATAAAGAACTGGCAGAGACAAAGTAATTTATAAAGGAAAGAGGTTTGATTGACTCACAGTTCCTCATGGCTTGGGAGGCCTCAGGAAACTTACAATCATGGCAGAAGGGGAAGCAAATATGTCCTTCATGACGTCAGGAAGGAGAAGTGCTGAGCAAAAAGGGAAAAGCCCCTTATTTTATAACATGTTTATCACATGAACAGCATGAGTGTAACTGCCCCCATAATTTAATTATGTCCTACCAGCTCCCTCCCATGACATGTGGGGATTATGAGAACTAAAATTCAAGATGAAATTTGGGTGGGGACCCAGCCAAACCGTATCAGTATGTATATATATGTGTGTCGTTGTTTGTTTTCAAGGCTCCAGAATAGACTTTTTTTTCCGAATTCTTGGAGCATAAGTGTCGGATTGCATTTAGAAAAGGCTATCTGCCATGGATTTTGGTGGTTTTGCTTCAGAAGCCACATAGACTTTCTTTTTGTTCAAGTAGTCATCATGGGAAGGCTCTGATTTGATGACTCCATATGTTAAGTCAACTCTGGAACAGGATCACATATTTGAAGACTGCAAATAGCTGCCTTTGTTCAGTTCTACATTTGGCATCTTATTTTGATGGTTGCAGTGCACTTTTCCGCCCAAAGTTTTTTAGTAGCCTTTGGCAAAAAGCAGTAATACTTGGCTACTACTTGGGAGCATTATTTTTTATGCCCAGTTTCCCGATTTGAACTATCTTGAAATCCTAAGTTAAAGGCGAGGGGCTTGGACGATAGATGATTACTGAGCAGAGATACATTTCCCACATCAGACTTAAACCTAGGTTTGCCATCTAGTAAATGGGCGCAGCTTTAAGACTCACCTGGCATTGTGGGGGGGCTATTTTGGGGTTGGGATAAGGGAGGTTATTCCCATATGTCAAAAGAATTCTACCTGGGAGACATTCTCACCAGGTATTATCAGCCCATTTTTGTTTTTACATCTGTGTGTGTAGAGCTCTGGAATAGAATTGTTAAGTCTGAATCAGAAAAAGCATAGTGGGTTAAGGATGAGTGAAAAGAAGAGAACCGTCTGTCCTTGACAGAATCTTCATGTACATTTCTTGTCTGTTCTTGTCTCTCTTCCTCCTGCCTGGCCCATTGCAGAGAGTTTTGGAAGTTTCCAACCATTGGTGGTACTCTATGCTCATCCTACCTCCTTTGCTGAAAGACAGCGTGGCAGCGCCCCTGCTGTCTGCCTACTACCCTGACTGCGTTGGCATGAGCCCCTCCTGCACCAGCACACACCGCACTGCTACCACTGGCAATGCCAGCCCTGGGAAACTGGAGCACTCCAAGGCTGCCCCCTCCGTGCATGGTGAGAGCCATTCCTGGGACTCCCTCCTTTCCATTCCCCACTATCCTCCCTGGGGAATGTATGAGTGAGCAAAATGCAAAGAATTTTTTTAAATGTACAGGCTGGGCACAGTGACTCATGTCTGTAATTCCAGCACTTTGGGTAAGAGGATCCCTTGAGGCCAGGAGTTCGAGACTGGTTTGGGCAACATCGTGAGACCTCCTATTTAAAAACAAATAGATAAAAATTATTTTTAAAAATGTATATGTAGCTAGGATATAAAGCCCCTCATTATTTCATGGAAATGGTTATACTGTGGATCAGTCATATCATTTGTGTATAGCGTAAAAAAAAAATTGTGTATTGGTAAAAAAAAAAAAAAGGTACCAATGTAGTTAATTTTCCCTCAGTAATTTGGAAAACCTGCAACAATCATGAATTGTCTACAGGACTTAACGTGTGTTTATTTGAAAGTTGGATTGATGTCTCGTTTAATGATAGCATGAACTCTGACTTACCAGGAAAAATTTTGAACCTTATGAGTAGTCCTTTTTCTTCTGAGTCTTTCTGCCTCCAGTTATGTCATTGGTGATCCCAGCAAAATGACCTACTCTAAAAAAAATTTAAAACTGCAGGGCAGGCATGCTGCTGATTATTTACTTTATTTATTTATTATTATTATTATTATTATTTTGGAGATGGAATTTCACTCTTGTCACCCAGGCTAGAGTGCAATGGCACGATCTCGGCTCACTGCAACCTCTGCCTTCCGGGTTCAAGCGATTCTCCTGCCTCAGTCCCCCTAATAGTTGGGATTACAGACATATGCCACCACGTCCGGCTAATTTTGTATTTTTTAGCGAAGACGGGGTTTCTCCATGTTGGTCAGGCTGGTCTAGACCTCCCAACCTCAGGTGATCCGCCCAGCTCCACCTCCCAAAGTGCTGGGATTACAGGCATGAGCCACTGTGTCCGGCTATTTTTTATTATTTTATTTTTGAGACAGATTCTCGCTCTGTTGCCCAGGCTGTTGTGCAGTGGCACGATCTCAGCTCGCTGCAGTCTCCAGCTACCAGGTTCCAGTCATTTTCCTGTCTCAGCCTCCAGAGTAGCTAGGACTCCAACCACGTGCTACCACGCCTACTTGTGTGTGTGTGTTTTTTTTTTTTGAGACAGAATCTCACTCTGTTGCCCAGGCTGGAGTGCAGTGGCACAGTCTTGGCTCTCCTCCCAAGTTCAAGCGATTCTTCTGTCTCAGTCTCCCAAGTAGCTGGGATTACAGGAACACACCACATCTGGCTAATTGTTGTATTTTGAGTATCGACGGGGTTTCATCATGTTGGCCAGGCTGGTCTCGAACACCTGATCTCAAGTGATCTGCCCCTCCCCCTGACTCCCAAAGTGCGGGCATGAACTACTGTGCCTGGTCTCATTATTTACTTTAAAGGCATCTTTAAAATTCTACATTAGAATTCTTGGTGTAGAAGCAGGAATTCTGGATTTCCTACTGCCTGGACAGGAACAAACGGCATTTTTGATTATGCACACAGATTTTTACATTATGGTCCTATCTTAAGGTTTATTTATTTATTTTTTTCAGTAACACTGAAATATAGATGTGGTGGAAATCAGAGCTAAAGTGGTAATTCCCAGGGTTAACGAAGATGTGATGAAAGAGGCACTCGACTACTATTAGGGAGAGCATATGTTTACAAAGGACGATTTGGCAGTGTGCATCAAAAACTTTAAAATAGAGACTCTTTGACCCAGCAATGCTATTTCTAGGAATTTATCCTAAACAATTAATTAAAAGTAAATTCAACAATTAGGTACAAAGAAATTTCTTTTTACATTGTTTATAATAGTGAAGTAATTGGATGAATTTAAATGCTGAGCAATAGGGAAATGGTTAAATAATAAGAAAATATTATAGAGCCATTGAATGCATATTTAGTGACACAGAAAAGTATTCATGATCCTGTATACATTAAAAAGCAGGTTAGAGGCTGGGCACGGTGGCTCATGCCTGTAATTCCAGTGCTTTGGGAAGATAGGGCCAGTGGATCACAAGGTCCGGGGTTCAAGACCAGCCTGGCCAAGATGATGAAACCCCATCTCTACTAAAAATATAAAAATTAGCCAGGCACGGTGGCAGCTGCTTGTAATCCCAGCTACTCGGGAGGCTGAGGCAGGAGAATTGCTCGAACCCAGCTGGCAGAGGTTGCAGTGAACCAAGATTGTGCACTCCAACCTGGGTGATAGATAGATAGAGTGAGACTTCATCTCAAAAAAATATATATCAGGTTAGAAAATGGCACATTCATAGCATTTTTTCCAGTTTCATAAAGACAAGTATCTATTACATGAATATTCTCTATTAATAGAGAAATAAGGATAAAGTGTATCCTTAAATGTAACTCCACTACTCAGACATAATCAGGGGTTAGTGCTTATTATTAACTGTGAACCTATTCATTTTATAGTCAGAAAAATGCCATTAAAGTTATTTTTAAAATGTATCTCTGTGAGGAGTGAACATCCAGTGGATACAGAGTTTGTCTTACAAGATGAAAAAGTTTTAGAGATCTGTGGCACAGCAGTGTGAGTGTACTTAACACTACTGAACTGTACCCTTAAGAATGAATAAGATAGCACTGCATTGTTGCTCAGGTCTGTAATCCCAGCACTTTGGGAGGCCGAGGTGGGCAGGTCACTTCAGGCCAGTACTTTGAGACTAGCCTGGCCAACATGGTGAAACCCATCTCTACTAAAAATACAAAAATTAGCTGAGTGTGGTGGTGGGCACCTGTAATCCTAGCTATTTAAGAAGCTGAGGCATGAGAATCATTTGGACCCAGTGGGTGGAGGTTGTAGTGAGCCGAGATGGTACGTACCGCTGCACTCCAGCCTGGGCAACAGAGCAAGACTCTATATCCAAAACAAAAAAAGTTAAGATGATAAATTTTATGATACGCATTTCTTTACTACAATTAAAAATAAACAAATTTCCATGCTATGGAAGTTAAAATTGTGAATAATGTGAAGAAAGAATGAGAAAAATATGTACCTTTGGTCTAACTGGGTGGAGGAAGCAAAGATATTTATGGAGGGTAGACAGTGGAGCTTATCTAGGTTTACTTTTGTTTTGCTTTTGCCCATTAATTCTTCTGGATTTGGAAGTTACAGCTTGTAGGAGTTGCCCATTTGTGTTACCTGTCAGTTCCAGGCATGAACCGATACTTCCAGCCTTTCTACCAGCCCAATGAATGTGGCAAAGCCCTCTGTGTGAGGCCGGATGTCATGGAACTGGATGAGCTCTATGAGTTTCCAGAGTATTCCCGAGATCCCACCATGTACCTGGCTTTGAGAAACCTCATCCTCGCGCTGTGGTATACTAACTGCAAAGTAAGTAAGGGCATGTTGGCCAGTAGCACTGGACAGAGGACCATGTTGAAGAGGAGGGAGCACTTTATCTGGGGATGGAACCTTGTATACTAGGGTTTCTCAGCCTTGGCTCTGTTGATATTTGGGGTAGATAATTATTTGTAGTGGGGGCTGTAGGATATTTAGCAAGATACCTGGCTTCTACCTACTAGATTCCAGTAACTCTTCACACTGTGAAAACCAAATATGTCTGTAGACATTTTCAGATGGGTTCAGAATCCCCCCATGTTGAAAACCCACCACTTTTAGACCACATGTAGTCAGCATGCTGACTCTCCAGTGGTGAGTATAAGGTGCAAGGTTTGGTCCAAAGAGTTCTAATGGCAATGGCAGGGGGGAAAAACATCACAGATGGGATTTCAAATCCTTGAGGGCAGGAATTTTTGTTCACTTCGGCGTCCTTAATCAGTCAAGACCAGTACCTTTCTTCTGTTGGGACTAATAAATGTCAGGGCTGTCACCTGTCACACTGTACCCACCTTGAAAGATAAATTATGGGGCAGAATGGGAATACTGGTTTTTTTTTTTTTTAAGGGCTGAGTGAAGTGGCTCATGTCTATAATTCTAGCACTTTGGGAGACTGAGGCTGGAGAATCGCTTGAGCCTAGAAGTTCAAGACCAGTCTGGGCAACACAGTGAGACCTCCATCTCCACAAAAAAATTAAAAAATTAGCCAAGTGTGGTGGCACATGACTGTAGTTCCAGCTACTTGGGAGGCTGAGGTAGGAGGATGGCTTGAGTCTGGAAGGTCAGGGCTGCAGTAAGCCATGATTGCGCCACTGCACTCTAGCTTAGGTGACAGAGAGCCCTATTTCCAAAAAAAAACCCACAAAGATTCTCTTGACCCTAGCATTTTTCTGATTTATTAATTTCATCAGCAATTTGAGTCATTTCTGAATGCTGAACATTGTGCAAGACTGTCAAAGTGGTCTTGAGTATAGACATGCCAGTTTCACCTTGGCATTTCACTGGATTGGAATCCAGAATGAGATGACATAACCTGATTAAGTTATGGCTATTAATGCACCTACCCACATCTTCTTTCTTTTTTTTTTTTTTGGAGACTGAGTCTTACTCGGTCGCCCCGGCTGGAGTGCAGTGGCACGATCTCAGCTTACTGGCTCACTGCAACCTCCGCCTCCCGAGTTCAAGCGATTCTCCTGCCTCAGCCTCCTGAGTAGCTGGGATTACAGGTGTGTGCCACCATGCCTGGCTAATTTTTGCATTTTTAGTAGAGTCAGGGTTTCACCATGTTGGCCAGGCCGGTCTTGAACTCCTGACCTCAGGTGATCTGACCGCTTTGGCCTCCCAGAGTGCTGGGATTACAGGTGTGAGCCACTGTGCTGGCCCCCAACATCTTATCGGTCACAAGAATCCAGCTCTTTCTGCGGTCAGTAGGATCAGCAGCCTGGATTTCCGTAGTGGCCTTTATTGAGTCAGGAGTGTCATGTGCTCGGCTGCCATGCTTCTGGGGCAATCGTTCTTGCTCTGAGAATGCCTGTGTGATAAAGTGTGAATTGCTGTCTCCTCCCGTTGTCTCCTTCTTTTCCCTACTGGGTAAACGTCCCTTTGTTCTTACTGTCTTAGTGATAAGTGATGGATTTCAATTACCTGGAGAGTTTTTTTCTTTTTTTTTTAATTATTGTGGTAAAATAAACATAACATAAAATTTACCATATTTTTTTTCTTGTTTTTTTAGATGGAGACAAGGTCTCACTATGTTGTACAGGCTGGTCTCCAACTCCTGGGCTCAAATGATCCTCCTGCTTCAGCCTCCCAAAGTGGTGGGATTACAGGCATGAGCCACTGTGCCCAGCCCCATTTTTACCATCTAAACCACTGTAAACTTTATAGCTTAGTGACATTTAAGTACATGTATAATTTTGTATAACCATCACCACTATCTAGTTCCAGAACTTTTTGATTATCCCAAGAGGGAACCCTGTACCAATTAAGCAGTCTCTTCTCTCATTTTCTCCTGCTGTCAGCCCCTGGCAACCAGGAATCTGCCTTCTAGCTGTATAATTTGCCTGTTTTAGATATTTCCAGTAAATGGAAGCTGGTAATAAGTGACCTTTTGTGACTGGTTTCTTTCACTTGGCATAATGTTTTCAAGGTTTACCCTTATTGTAGCACATGTCAGAACTTCACTCACTTTTATAGCTGAATAATATGTCATTGTCCATATCACATTTGTTTATCCATTCATCCATTGATGGGCATTTGACTTGTTTCCACCTTTTCCCTATTTGAATACTGCTATTGTGAGCATTTTGTTTGAACATCTGTTTTCAGTTCTTTTTGGTACATACTAAGGATTGGTATTACGGTATTTCAGGTTTAACCTTTTGAGGAACTAAAACAATGTTTTAAACATTAATTGGTTTGCCTTTTAAATTGAGAAATAAACATTGTATATGTTTATGATGGACAGTCTGATGTTTTGAAATATAGATATATTGTGGCCGGGCGTGGTAGCTCACGCCTGTAATTCCCAGCACTTAGGAGGCTGAGGCGGGTGGATCAGGAATTTGAGACCACCTTGGCCAACATGGTGCAACCCTGTCTCTATTAAAAATATAAAACATTAGCCGAGGATGGTGGCAGGCACCTGTAGCTGGAGCTACTCAGGAGGCCGAGGCAGGAGAATCGCTTGAACCGGGGAAGTGGAGGTAGCAGTGAGCCAAGATCGCTCATTGCACTCCAGCCTGGGTGACAGAGTGAAACTCCGTCTCAAAAAAAAAAAAAAGAAAGAAAGAAAGAAAAAAGATATATGTTGTGGAATGGCTAAATTGACTTAATCAACATATGCCTTACATGATATACTTACCATTTTCTTGTCGCCGAGAACGTAAAAATCTCTCCATGATTTTCAAGTATACAATAAATTGTTATTAACTATGTATTGTAGTTACCATGTTGTAAAATGGATCTCCTGAAATTATTCCTCCTGTCTAAACTGAAATTTTGTGTCCTTTGACCAACATTTCCCCTCTTCCCCCTCCCCTCAGCACCTGGTAACCCCCATTCCACTTTCTGCTTCTGTGAGTGGACGTTTTTAGATTCCACGTGTGTACGTACATGAGATCACGCAGTATTTGTCTGTGTCTGATTTATTTCATGTAACCTAATGTCTTTCCAGTTCAACCATGTTGTTGCAAATGACGGGATTTTGTTTCTTTTCTTTTAAGGCTGAATAGTATTCCATTGCGTGGATATATCACGTTTTCTTTATTCGTAAGTGGACTCTAGGTTGACTCTGCATCGTGGCAGTTGCGATAACACTGGAGTGAGCATGGGAGTGCACATCTCTCTGATGTGCTGATTTCATTTTATTTGACTGTCTACCCCACAGTGGGGGTTGCTAGATCGTATGGTAGTTTTATTTTTAGTTTTTTGAGACACCTCCATATTGTTTTCCATAATGGCTATCCTAATGTACATTCTACCAACAGTGTATAAGGTTCTTTTTTCTCTTCTTCATTTATTACCTTTTGTCTTTTTTTGATAACAGGCATTTTAATAGGTGTGAGGTGATTGTCATTGTGGCTCTAATTTTGCATTTCCTTGATGATTAGTGATGGTGAGCATTTTTTCATAGACACTTGGCCCTTTGTACCTGTGGGTTCCACATCTTGAAAATATTTGGGGAAAAAATGGATGGTTGCATCTGTACTAAACACTATACAGACTTCCTTGTCATTTTCTACATGATACTATGTAACAACTATTTACATAGCATTTACATTGTATTACATATTATAAGTAATATAGAGATAGCATAAAGTATGCTCAGGACGGTTCTAGAACTAATCCCCCATGGATACCAGGGAGGACTGTACCTGTTGGCCATTTGAGCATCTGCTTTTGAGAAATACTGATTCACATCTTTCACTCATCTTTTAAATGGATTGTTTTCTTGCTATTGAATTGTTTGAATTCCTTGGGACTTTAAAGAAAAAACAGTTTGGTTTTATTTCCAAACACAGGAAGCTCTTACTCCTCAGAAATGTATTCCTCACATCATTGTCCGGGGTCTCGTGCGTATTCGATGTGTTCAGGAAGTGGAGAGGATACTGTATTTTATGACGAGGAAAGGTCTCATCAACACAGGCGTTCTCAACGTGGGAGCCGACCAGTATCTTCTCCCTAAGGACTACCACAATGTAGGTGATTGTAGCTTTAGCGATAACCTTGCCATTGGTCAGGACACACACTAGTCTATTGCTGTTAACAATACTAGTAAAAGCCACATGATCACCATAAAACGTCCAGAAGCAAGCCTTCTGTAGAGTGTGTTTCTCCGGAAAGGAGAATAGCAAGCAGTTTCCCTGGATTGTAGGGAAAGAGGGAATGGACTCATAAGACAAGTGCCAGCACATTGTTTAGGAAAATAACTTTCTAAGAACAGCAAAAAAAAGTAAATGAATGAATTTGCTCTGCGGTTCCAGAACATCCTAAAACGGGGCATTGTTATCTGCTCTAATTAGAGTTTTGTTTCTTTTCTTTTTAAGAAAACAGTCATTGTTATCGGGGCTGGTCCAGCAGGATTAGCAGCTGCGAGGCAACTGCATAACTTTGGAATTAAGGTAGGATTTTGGGAATATGGAGTCAGAACAGATGGTTGGCTGCTCCTTTTTGTTCAATTTTCTAAGATTTAGAAATCAGTTCCTATTTTTTGTGAAGAATACTAAATACCTTATATGTTTACATTAGGTCCTAGAAAAGTTATAACACTCAAAATTGATTTCACAAGAGAAAGGTAAATAATAGAAATGCTCACAGCTTTGGAGAGAATTTTAGACTAATGAGCAAGTCAGAAGAAATTTTAACTTGGTATTAAAGTAGAAATTTGTTTTGTTTTGTTTTGTTTTTTTGAGACAAAGTCTTGTTCTGTCGCCCAGGCTGAAGTGCCGTGGTGCGATCACAACTCACTGCAACCTCTGCCTCATGGCTTCAAGCTGGGATTACAGGTGTGTGCCACTATGCCCAGCTAATTTTTGTATTTTTAGTAGAGACAGGGTTTCACCATGTTGGCCAGGCTGGCTCGAACACCTGACCTCAAGTGATCTGCCTGCCTTGGCCTCCCAAAGTACTGGGATTACAGGCATGAGCCTCCATGCCTGGCTAAAGTAGAAATTTTTGACAGATTATTATTCACACAATAGAAATGATGGGAAAAAGCCCATTTCCACAGTAGTTTGAGACAGCAAATACTAGCATGGATATTCACTATTACTTGTGTAAAAGTGTCTGAAATACTCAGTTCTAAGTTTTTTTTTTTATATCTATTTATTTATTTTGAGACAGTGTTATGAGACTGGCTAATTTTTGTATTTTGGGTAGCGACAGGGTTTCACCATGTTGCCAAGGCTGGTGTCAAACTTCTCAGTTCAAGTGATCTGCCCACCTCGGCCTTCTAAAGTGCTAGGATTACAGGCATGGGCCACCGTGCTCGGCGTCCAGTTAAATTTTTTTATGCCTATCAAAGATGCCCTTTGAATCTCATTTCAGACATGACCCACTGCTCCCGGCCGAGCACATGTTTCAATTGATTGCTTATTTCAGTGTTAGATATTTGGGCCAAGGGTTTTTGAGTTTTACTTGGAAAACCTACAGGTTATATTACAAGAAAGGTTATTAAAATCGAAAATCTAGGGAGTTTATCTTTAATATTTGGCTTTCCTCTTGTACTAAAAAGCAACTAGAAATGGACTGGGCACAGTGGCTCAGTGCCTGTAATCCTAGCACTTTAGGAGGCTGAGGTGAGCAGATCGGTTGAGCTCAGGAGTTTGAGACCAGCCTGGACAACGTAGCAAAACCGTGTCTCTACCAAGAAAAAATACAAAAGGAAAATTAGCCAAACTTGGTGGTGTGCGCCTGTGGTCCCAGCTACTCAGGAGGCTGATGTGGGAGAATCACTTGAGTCTAGAAGGCAGAGGTTGCAGTGAGCTGAGATCGAGCCACTGCACTTTAGTCTGGGTAACAGAGTGAGACCCCAACTCAAAAAAAATAACTGGAAATGGATAGCTCTGTATAAAATTGAAGTCAGAGAAAGAGGATACAACAAGGTGTAGGCTTCCTACTTAGAGAAAGTGAAACATTTAAGTTTGAGAAAGAATGTTCAGAGAATTGATACTACTTTCCCCTCCATCCCCAAGTGATGGGGAGACACCCAGGAGACCCTCCATTCTCCCCATGGGTGGGAAACAGAGTCCTCTGAGTAGCCTGAAAGATGATTAACTTGGGGAACCTCTTCTTGAGAATTTAAAGTCATTTTTAGAGATCCAGAAATGTAAGATTGGCCTTGGGATGAGTAGGACTCACATTTTCAGTTAATGTAACCCAGGGAAGTGTGGCACTTTGAATCCCAGGGTTACAGGTGAGGCGCTGCCTGTGTACCCAAGAGCAGCTTCTCCTGCCACCAGCATTAGAAATTTGCTGGAGATAGAATAGCCTGGGTGTGAGATCTGGTTAGGCCAAGCCCATGAAGTCATATTTATATGGAGTGGCATACTTTTTTTTTTTTTAATAATATAGGAAAGTTAAGGCTTATTTGCAGTGCTAAAGGAATTTAGCTATGTAGATATTTCTTAGGAAAAATCACCTAAAGAAGTTTTTAACTGTTTCTAACTAGTTTTTAACTGTGCTTCTTAACTTACAGAATACTATTTTATAGACAGTTTTCAAAGTACATTTTATGTGCTAGTTCATCAGATCTTTTTTTTTTTTTTTCGAGACAAGGTCTCGCTCTGTCATCCAGGCTGGAGTATAGTGGCACGATCTCGGCTCACTGCAGCCTCCACCTCCCAGCTTCAAGCAATTCTCATGCCTCAGCCACCCGAGTAGCTGGGATTACAGATGTGTGCCACCATGCCCGACTGACTTACGTATGTTTAGTAGAGACAGGGTTTCACCATGTGGCCAAACTGTTCTGAAACTCTTGGCCTCATGTGATCCTCCTGCCTCAGCCTCCCAAAGTGCTGGGATTACAGGCGTGAGCCACTGCGTCTGGCATAGTTCATCATATCTTACTATCTGGTTTGAGTGATTCCTTCAACAGACCACTCAGTTTTTCCTTGCTAGAGTCTAGACAGATTGTTTTGAACATCTGTTTTGGCTTCTGTTCATATTCCCTGCTTTTTAAACTTGTTTTTGTAGAAATATTTTGAATTAACTAAATATAGAGGCTGTTTAACCGTGTCATTCTACATTTTTATAATACTGTGTCTGATATAACTCCTGTGTCCTATTTAGCTTCCCTGACTGTCTGTCTTTTTAGGTGACTGTCCTGGAAGCCAAAGACAGAATTGGAGGCCGAGTCTGGGATGACAAATCTTTTAAAGGCGTCACGGTGGGAAGAGGAGCTCAGATAGTCAATGGCTGTATTAACAACCCAATGGCATTAATGTGTGAGCAAGTGAGTTTCTTTTAGCTTTGTGTTGTAGAGAAAGGCAAGAAAAACAGTTTCAATTTGCTTGTGTGCAGTGTTAATATGCTTGCAAAGTAAATTACACATAACAGCCCCTCATCTCCTCTGAGAAGTAGTAAGAACTTCTTAGTTCTGCCTTTCTGAGAAGGTAGAACTGGAGGATGTAGAAGATTGTTTTCCTTTTTGTAATCTCTTTAATTTTATTTCCTTGTTATTTGCAGGCCACTTGGTTAGCTCATAATTTTAAGGTTGTCAGATTTAGCAAATAAAAATATAGGATTCTCAATTAAATTTCACTTTCAGATAAACAAGTAATTTTTTACCCAGGTATTTCCCAGTATTACATGGGATATTTTACGTGCAATATTTGGGACATACTTAAACTTAAAATTATGTATTACTTATCTGAACGTCATATTTAATGAGGCAGCCCGTCTTTTGTCTGGCAGTCTTACAGTTTCTTTGAAGACTTGGTGGGCGCAAGCCTTCTTCTGAAATGTTTATTGATGGTCAATTCAATTTCAGCTTCTGCTGTGAGTGTTTGTGTGTTCATTTACATGAGGGTCCATAGAGGAGACAGAATGTTAGAGCAAGGACAGGCAGTGTCTGGCATCTGAAACATTAGCCAAAAAGTTACAGCAGCCATGGCGTAGGAGCCGTTGCTGCCCCCGTCACATTCTCATCAAATAAAATCTTGTAGATTTCATACTGGCTTTTTTTCACTGCCTGACTTTGCTGCCATTCCATGTGAAGCATATTTAGCTTTATTTTTGAGAGGTATTGGACCGTTTTCTCCATGAGAGCTCTGTCTGATTTTCAGCTTAGAACCTGTAAATATGTTTTTCCAGGGAAAATTTTCACCTTCTTATTCTTATTATTTTGAAGCTTGGCATCAGCATGCATAAATTGGGAGAAAGATGTGACTTAATTCAGGAAGGTGGAAGAATAACTGACCCCACTATTGACAAGCGCATGGATTTTCATTTTAATGCTCTCTTGGATGTTGTCTCTGAGTGGAGAAAGGATAAGACTCAGCTCCAAGATGTCCCTTTAGGAGGTATGGGGAGAACGGTGTTCTGATTGTTCCATCTCAGTTTCGTTGTTACCTAAGCTTCATCAGCAGTGGCATCGTTCATTTGTGAGGTCGGATGTCAGCAACAGGGTAGCCCTCCTGAGCATTGCTTTTGGACTGTGGGATTCTCCAAGTTCTCAGGGGAGGAGCACTTTTTTAGGGAGCCTTAGATGCTTGCATTGTGTACACACACAGACCTTACTTTACACGGTAGCGGGTGTTTTACAAAATTATCTAAATGTTTCATTTTAAATTTTCCAGAGTAGCTTACTTTTAAGGAAGCATGTGGTAAGCCCTGGGTGATACATCATCATCCTGTAATGTCTTTTCTAGATAAGGGTTTCTGTGAGCCAGGAATTTTTTTTGTTGTTGAGTAGTGGGTTAGGGTTTTCTCCAGTATATTTTGAGAATGCCAAAAGTGTTACAGTTTAAGAATTTTAATCCATCAGGCACAGTGGCTCACACCTGTAATCCCAGCATTTGGGAGGCCAAGTGGGGAAGATCACGTGAGCCCAGGAGTTCAAGACCCACCTGGGCAACATAGTGAGCCTTGTGTCTACAGAAAAAAACAAAAACAACCAGCCAAGCATGTTTGTGTGTGCCTATAGTCCCAGCTACTTGGGAGGCTGAGTTGGGAGGAGAGCTTGAGCTCAGGAGGTTGAGTTTGCAGTGAGCTATAATCCCACCACTGCACTCCAGTCTGGGCAACACAGCAAAACCCTATTTCCAAAAAAAAGAAAAAATATTTTTAATTCAAAATCTTTTGGCTTTTGGGCTTAAATGGGCAATATTAGCTACAACTCTTTAGAAAACATGATCACCCATAGTCACTCCTTTTCACGAGGGTGCCAGCTGAAATTTTACTGTGTTGCTTCTTAAATTGATATTTATTTAGCCCACAATTTTGTGACCTGAATGTATTCACTTGTAGTTCTTGGAGGCATGTTGGAGTTCCTTTTATTTTTTTTGAGATGGAGTTTCGCTCTTGTTACCCAGGCTGGAGTGCAATGGCGCAATCTCGGCTCACCGCAACCTCCGCCTCCTGGGTTCAGGCAATTCTCCTGCCTCAGCCTTTTGAGTAGCTGGGATTACAGGCACGTGCCACCATGCTCAGCTAATTTTTTGTGTTTTTAGTAGAGACAGGGTTTCACCATGTTGACCAGGATGGTCTCAATATCTTGACCTCGTGATCCACCCACCTCGGCCTCCCAAAGTGCTGGGATTACAGGCTTGAGCCACCGCGCCCGGAGTTTCTTGTAGTGTGAACATTTGAACTCAGTTTGCAAGGTGTTCATTTGCTTCAACTATATGTTTCTTTGCAAGAGTTCTCAATTCTTCAGGCTGATACACAGGTCATCTCTGTTTGGGGGTAAACTTCGTAGTATAAGGGACTGTCTCTTCTTTTTCTCTTTTCCCTCCCCCTGTACTGTGGTAATACACCATCTCTAAGAGACCCACACTGTAATTGTCCTTAGTAAGTATTGACTGATACACCATAAGAGAACATTTTCAGAAATACCGTTTAATCAAATGTTGTAGTGTCCAGACTAATTCATAGGTTTTTAAATTTTACGGAGTTGAGAACAGTTATTAGGCTGACTTACAGGATATTCTCAGGTTAGTATTTTGTACCTGTGTTGTAGTCACTGGCTGGAGTTTTCTTTACATTTCTTTCAGAGTCACCAAATAAAAACGTTTAATGATAATGCTTTGCCTTAGCCTTACCTAGAACAAGCTATAGGCCAGGCATGGTGGTGTGTGCCTGTAGTCCCATCTATTCAGGAGGCAAGAGGATTGCTTAAGTCCAGGAGTCAGAGACTACAGTTAGCTATGATTTCGCCACTGCACCTCAGCCTGGGTGACAGAGCAAGACACCGTCTCACAAATAAACAAAAAACCCAAGTTAAGACCTGGCGCGTTGGCTCACACCTGTAATCCCAACACTTTGGGAGGCCAAGGTGGGCAGGTCGCCTGAGGTCAGGAGTCCAGGACCAGCCTGACCAACATGGGGAAACCCCGTCTCTACTAATAATTAAAAAAATTAACCGGGCATGTGGCAGGCACCTATAATCCCAGCTACTCAGGAGGCTAAGGCAGGAGAATTGCCTGAACCTGGGAGAGAGAGATTGCAGTGAGCTGAGATTGTGCCACTGCACTCCAGCCTGGACAAGAGCGAGACTTTGTCTCAAAAACAAAAAAGAAACAAAAAAACCCCCAAGTTGTTAAGGTAGGCTCAGCAATACTTCCTGTGTAAGTAGGCATTTCATCTTATCAATAGCTTGTTAAAAGGCTTTGATAATAGTCCACACGTCTCTGTGTAAGGCTGTAGTCCTATCTTTGCTGTCTGAGATCTCATCTTACGAGAGAAATAAGGGAAACTCAGTTCTAAATACTAAGGGACTAGATTTCATTTCAGAAAGCAGGTGCACTAAAGCTTTTAAATATTATTTACATAAAAATTACAGTGGACCGTGTGCATTGGCTCACACCTGTAATCCCAGCACTTTGGGAGGCTGCGGCAGGTGGATCACCTGAGGTTTAGGAGTTTGAGACCAGCCTGGCCAACATGGTGAAACCCCGCCTGTACTAATAATGAAAAAATTAGTCTGGCTTGGTGGCATGCCTGTAATCCTAGCTACTTGAGAGGCTGAGACAGGAGAATCGCTTGAACCTGGGAGGCAGAGGTTGCAGTGAGCCAAACTGCACCATTGTACTTCAGTCTGGGTAGTGAAACATTGTTTCCAAAAGACAAAATCACATTGAGGCCTCTCAGTCTGTTTATATTTAATTTTATATACTATCCTGGCAATCTTGGTTTTTTTAACCCCTCCACAAAACCAACAGGAATGTAGAAACTGCACCTCAGGAATCAGGGATGGGACTTCTATAAAAGCTACAGAAAATGGCACAAAGCCCAGGGGGTCTAGGAGCAAAAGCCAGGCACAAATCCAGAGGCCTCTTGGGCATCTTCATGTTACAATCTAATGCAAGAAATGAGCATTTTGATGAAAGCCTTGAGCTGTTCTAAAAAAAAAAGTTTTAAGTAACTGATACTCAGTTCCGCTTCTAATCAGACAAGTGTGTGATACTCTGTAAACTTGGGGGCTGGGTGCGGTGGCTCACACCTGTAATCCCGGCACTTTGGGAGGCCAACGTGGGTGGATTGCCTGAGCTTAGGAGTTTGAGACCAGCCTGGGCAACATGGCGAAACCCCATCTCTACTGAAAATTCAAAAATTAAGTGGGCATAATGGCGGGCGCCTATAGTCCCAGCTACTTGGGAAGATTGCTGGAGCCCAGGATGTTGAGGCTGCAGTGAGTCAGGATTGTGCCACTACCCTCCAGCCTGGGTGACAGAGTGAGACCCTGTTTAAAAAAAAAAAAGAAAGAAAAACTTGGAGCCTGTGATACTCGTTTTGGATGGTTGTCATCACTGGAACAGTTGTAAAGAAGTGATCTATACTGAGATACTTAGAATGGGTCAGACATGAAGCCAGACCCTCTTCCAGCCCCACTACAAAGGAATCTCAGATGATAATGGTATCACAGAGCTGATATTAACTATATTTGTCCATATAGTAAAAGGTCCAGTTGAGTGAGACAGTTAGAAGTTGATGACAGGGAGAGATTCTGGAGGCTTGCCACGGCCTGGTGACGCTGAACCATAAAGAATGGATGGCATTGGGTGGGGGAAGGCATTCTGGTGAGGGAGAGTGAGAGGTCACAGACCCTGCAGGGTAGGATTTTACCAGGAAAAAGATTCGTAAGCGGCACAGTAGGGCCTGTGAGTGGGCAGATAGTAGCTGCTACCTTTGGAAAGGTTAAAATATGCTAGCTTTGCCCGGCTGTGGTTGGGGAATTTATTACATTGGCAGATATGGAGGTGGAGGGCTGACATGATAACCAGTCCATAATATTTTTTTTTTTTTTTTGAAATGGAGTTTCACTGTTGTCGCCCAGGCTGGAGTGCAGTTGTGCAATCTTGGCTCACTGCAACCTCTGCCTCCCCAGTTCAAGTGATTCTCCTGCCTCAGCCTTCTGAATACCTGGAATTATAGGCGCCTGCCACCACGCCTGGCTAATCTTTTTTATTTTTAATAGAGATGGGGTTTCACCATGCTGGGCAGGCTGTTCTTGAATTCCTGACCTCAGGTGATCCGCCTGCCTCAGCCTCCCAAAGTGCTGGAATTACAGGCGTGAGCCACCATGGCTGGCCAGCCATAATGGAGTGTTCTTGTTTGAGACAGACTGTAGCCAACAGTTAGCCTTTACAGGTCTCTTAGTTGAGGTGAGGTGTCGGAAGAATTGACTTTATGTGATGGCAGCAGGATCAGAAAGAGAATGCTATCTTCTCTGTGTGTGCACATCTGTGTGTGGGGACGCCTTTTCTGTATCTTGAGCAAAAGGAAACCATTTCTTAACAAAGCAGAATTGAGACATTTCTGAAGCTATAGAATTTACACAGCTTTGTTTCCGGTAGGATAAGCTTTCTCTTCCTGAGAGAAATGGACCTTAGAAAGAGATCCTTTCCCCCGACTTGACTTGGGAAAAGACTTTGGAAGTTTTGGGTGTTGCTGGGTGACAGAGCTTGCAAGCAAAGGAGAAGGAATTGGAGAATCTTGTTAAAGCTGTTTGTTTTTTTTCTGCTTTGATCCATTCCTATTACAGAAAAGATAGAAGAGATCTACAAAGCGTTTATTAAGGAATCTGGTATCCAGTTCAGCGAGCTGGAGGGACAGGTGCTCCAGTTCCATCTCAGTAACCTGGAGTATGCCTGTGGCAGCAACCTTCACCAGGTGCGGTTGGGTTTTGTGAAAGGTGTGCTTTGACAATACTTGGTGGGGTGTCTGTGTGTGTGTTATGTTTCTAAATATTGAATTTGAGCTGCTTTGGATAAACAAGAATGATTCTGCTTAAAAGCTTGAAAGCCATGACTTCCGAGCATATTAACCCCACTGCGGTTTTGTTTGTTCTTTAAACTTTTGTTGTTGTTGTGTTGAAGCAAGAGAAACCCTTCTTCAGATAATGCCTGTGAAAGAAGCTGAATATGTCAAAACAAAGGAAGAGGCTGGGCACAGTGGCTCACCTCTGTAAAATCCTAGCACTTTGGGGGACTGGTTGAGCCCAGGAGTTCGAGATCATCCTGGGCCACATGGCAAAACCCTGTCTCTACAAAAAATTAGCTGGGCTTAGTGGCATGTGCCTGTAGTCCCAGCTACGTGAGAGGCTGAGGTGGGAAAATTGCTTGATCCTGGGAGGTGAAAGCTGCCGTTAGCTGTGATGGTGCTACCATACTCCTGCCTGGGCGATACAGCGAGGTCCTGTTTTGGGGGGAAAAAAGAAATCAGTCATTCCAAAGGAAGGAGGGCTATTGGGCTGAATCAGAGTAGAGTTTCTTATATTTTTCTTATTTTTTGTAGAGATGGGTCGTCTTCTGTTGCCTAGTCTGGTCTTGAACTCCTGGCCTCAAGTGATCCTCCTGCCTCAGCCTCTCCAAATGCTGGGGTTACAGGCATGAGCCACTGCGCCAGGACTTGGTCTCTTTATCCTCCTTTCCCTGCTTTCTGCAGAGGCCCTTGGGTTATTTCTTTGGAACCATAGAGTCTAAAACACTGCTCTCAAGAAGAGAAAACTGTGTCCTTGCAAGGCTGGTTTGTTTAAAGTAAATTTAAGCTTGCCTAACTCATTTAACCAACTGTGAACCTAATACTCCAGTACTCTTTTTTTTTGTTTTGTTTTTTGTTTTTTGTTTTGAGATGGAGTTTCACTCTTGTTACCCAGGCTGGAATGCAATGGCACAATCTTGGCTCACTGCAACCTCCACCTCCTGGGTTCAAGCAATTCTCCTGCCTCAGCCTCCCGAGTAGCTGGGTCTACAGGCGTGCACCACCATGCCCAGCTAATTTTTCTATTTTTAGTAGAGACGGTGTTTCACCTTGTTGACCAGGATGGTCTCAATCTCTTGACCTCGTGATCTACCCACCTCGGCCTCCCAAAGTGCTGGGATTATCGGCGTGAGCCACCGTGCCCGGCCAATACTCTAGTATTCTGTATTTTGAATAGAACTCCACGGATGATTTCAGAGGCCCTTCAGGACCTCTTCACTTCTACTTGATTCTGCACTGTGATGGGAATCGTGCTGTTTTCCAAAATCATGCTGGGTTTCTCCTCTGTAGAGCTTCCATGTTGAGGACAGACAGCATCTTTATATGTGTCAATCAAATACAGTTTTTCCTTCACAGAACTCTACTTTGCCAAAGTTGTCCATATATAAAATTCACTTTTATTTTTATCAAGGAGTGGTACTCACACCCAAGTCATATAGACCCGTGTTCTCAAATAAACTTTCCTCAAATACAGTTTTCGAGGTTTCCTCCCCCCGACAGTGGTCTCTGCCTGGGCTGGTCTGCCTGTCCCCGGCCTTGGTGGCTGTTCCCACCTGGAGTTCCTCGTATTGGCCCTCAGGCACAGGCTCAAGGATTTACACTGCTGTGTCCTCAACCTCTCGTTTCCCAGGTATCTGCTCGCTCCTGGGACCACAATGAATTCTTTGCCCAATTTGCTGGTGACCACACCTTGCTAACCCCCGGGTACTCGGTGATAATTGAGAAACTGGCAGAAGGGCTGGACATTCGGCTCCAGTCTCCAGTGAGTATCAGCTTCTGGGAGGCTCTGGCTCTGCCTTGTTTGGGGAGAATGATGTTCTGGGCATGCGGCTTCCACAGGAGAGTGGGGCTGGCTTTGGTGCCTAGCCAGGGTCTAGCAGGACTTTTGTGGCTCATTCATAGCCTGTGTAGCATTAGCCATGTCAGTGAGGCAGCTGCTGCTGCTTAGATTCCATAGTGGCCCCAGGGCATTTTTATTCAGAAGGTATTCAAATTGCTCGCAGCCTTCCTAACCCAGTGCAGTTATTTTCACTTTAAAATTTTTCCTTCATATCTTTGTCTCAGTGCATTTGTATTGGGTGTCATATTGTAATCATGGGGGTGATTACTTATCTGCATTTCACTTTACACCATATCATAACTATTTTCTACATTCCGACACAGTGTTTATTTTGCATATGCTGACACAGCATAAATTTTAACTCCCTGAGTTTAGCTATAACAATTGTTGAGAACGCTGAATGCCAGGAAAAGATTCCCCTTAGCCGTGGAGATGTAAATTCATGTCATATGAGAATCGGAAAGGATCCTGGATCACGTGGTTCCATCCCTCACTTTTTTTTCTTAATTGCTTTTTGAGCAGGTGCAGAGTATTGATTATTCTGGAGATGAAGCGCAGGTCACCATTACAGATGGCACAGGGTATTCTGCACAAAAGGTAAGAGCTAGGACAGTGTGAGGGTGGGTAGAAACCCTTGCTGCCAGGGGCTGAAAGGGGAGGAAAAATCTTTCGTATCAAGGAGTTTGTTTTTGGGAATCTGCATGGAGCCTTGTTGGATTTCTGGTAAGTTATGTATGTACACTTAATTGTGAGTAGGTATGCAAAGCTCATTTCGTGATCTAACACTGTATAGATTCATGGCAGATGGAATTCTAAATTATGTTCCTGGAGGTGAGTTCTAGGGCACATGAGTCCTGAGAGTTGAACAACAAAAAAGATTCCTTGGTCAAATAAGTTTGGCAAGACCAAGTAAGTTTGAGAAATATTGTCTACAACACTCTACTTTTAGGGTTAAGTAGGAGTTGTATAGAGTTAAATATGTTAAAGGCTCTGAGAAGTCCTGCATTAAAGAAATCTACTTTACTATTAAAGAAACCTATTTTACTTTTATTCTGTGCTCTCCACATTTTTTTTTAACCACGGAATCCTTTTTCAGGTCAAGAAAGTTCTTTTTTCCTCTTAAAATCTTGACACTGTCAGAAGTACTTATATATGGCTTAAATTTTTTGTAAACAGCTTTATTAGGTGAACGGTACAAGGTAGTGCCGAATCGAATACTGGAAATCACACTGAGAGTTACAGTAATGGAGAATAAAGGTGCTTACTTGGGGTGGGGGAAGATTTAGTAAACCTTGGAAGTTTAAGTTGAGTTATATTTTAAGTAACTATGAAGAAATCTAATTGATGAAGTATTACTAGTTCCTAGATTATCTATGCTTCCTAACTTCGGGTGTCTAATTCTTGTTTCACAGCCCTTGATATTGTACAGAAATAAAGGACTGCATGTCACATGGGAAAGACAGGTCTAGGGAATGAGTTAGAGTCGGAGTAGGGGGTGCCCTATCATTATTTCTGCCACTAACCAACTAGGAGATTTGGGGCAGCAATCCCTGGGCTGCATGTCAGAATCACCTGGGAGGTGCTTGCAAAGAAAGGTTGCAAAATCCCCCTGTATACATTCTTGTCGAATTGGCTTCACTTTTTTGTTCCAAAGACTGGGTCTCGGTCTGTTGCCCAGCCTGGAGTGCAGTGGCACAGTCATAGCTCACTATAGCCTTCAGCTCCTGGGCTCAAGGGATCCTTTCACCTGAGCCTCCCTCGAGTAGCTGGGACTAGAGGCGTGCACCACCATGCCTGGCTCATAATGTTTTTAAAGCTTCTCGAGTGATTCCAGTGTGCAGCTGTGGTTGAGAACCTTGTCTGCAGTGGCCTTCTCTGTAAGCTCCTAATAGGTCTGCCGGGTGGTAAACAGTGTTTAAAAATACCCTCTTTTAAAATTGCAAGTCACCCGACAGTTCAGCCTCTGCTGTTCTGTGGCTCCGCTTCTTGGTGTCCAGGACAGCAGGCTGGTTATGACTCCCCTGCTTCATCACTCTCTGCCTAACTCTGGCCAGTACTCGTGCCTTTCTTTGTTTGTATTCCAGCCTTCTGGAGAAATGAGGGCACGGCTTCTGGCTGCACTTTAAAACATTTAAAACGAATATTTTATTGTAGCCAGCACACATCACAGTTTGTACTGGAAGTTTCCCTAAACTAGTAAGTAAAACATTTTCAACCCAACACGATAGACCGATCAACGTCTGTCTAGGCTGCTTCCACTGACATCTCGCATTAGTTCCTTATTAGGATGTGTTTATATATTTGCTTATCGTTTACCCAAGGATTTCTTTTGTTTCCTTTTTTTGAGACAGGGTCTTACTCTGTTGCCCAAGCTGGAGTGCAGTGGTGCAGTTGGTAGCTCACAGCAGCCTCAAACTCCTGGGATTGAGCAGTGCTCCCACCTCAGCCTCCTGTGTAGCTGGGACCACAGGCACCTGCCACCACACCCCACTAATTTAAAAAAAATTTTGTAGAGAGAGAGTTTCCCTATGTTGTCCAGGCTGGTCTTGAACTCATAGTCTTAAGCAATCCTCTCACTTTGGCCTCCCAAAGCACTGGGATTACAGGTATGAGCCACTGCGCCTGGTTTACCCAAGTTTTTAGGCTTTTCAGCGATTTTTTTTTTTTTTTTTTTTTTGTCATTAAGAAAACATTAGATTTGTGGGCATGGTGGCTCACACCTGTAGTCACTGCACTTTGGGAGACAGAGGTGAGAAGATGGCTTGAGGCCAGTAGTTTGAGACCATCCCGGGCAACATGGTGAGACCCTGTCTCTACAAAACATAAAAAAATTAGCTGTGCATGGTGGTGTACACCTGTGGTCCCAGCTACTCCAAGAAGCTGAGGCAGGAATATCACTTGAGCCCAGGAGTCTGAGGCTGCAGTGTGCTGTGATCATGCCACTGCACTAGCTGGGGCAACAGAGTAAGACCTTGTCTCTTAAAAAAAAAAAGCCGGCGGAGGGGGAATCTAGATTTTATTATTTTCCTGCAGTTTATACATAATTTAACTGGATAGTAATTGTTTTTTTGTGTGGTTTGCTTGATTTTTTTGGTTGCATGGTAATTACTACCTATAAATAGATTACAAACCTTGATGATAGAGAACATATTTTATACTTTATAAAGTTTTCATGTGGCAGAAAATAGCGACAGAATCAGAAAACTCCGAGCTTCCTGTGATCCTAGAATTGAGAGTGAAACCAAATATGCCAAATCTTTGAAGGCTCGGGTAGACTGGGTGCTTGGTCTTCAGCTCCATTCCACTCTCATCCTAGGTGTCATTCTGTACTGCAGAAAGTATCTGCACTTTTCCCCAACTCCCTACAGCGGGGTCCTAAATACTCCTCCAGCCCAGCCAGTCTGATGCACTTGCATGAGATGTAGGTATAGGTTGGCTTTTGCTTCACTTCTGCTGCCTCTGTTGGCGAGCGCACCACGGTGGAGGTGTTTGGTTCTTCTGCAGCAGGGCTCATGAAAGTCGCAGGGTTCAGCCAGTAACTACAAGTCAAAGAGGAGGCCAGGAGGCATGCATTTTGCTGGTGTGCATTGTTCTGTATGTGGCATGATTCTGGAGCTGGCAGGAGTAGTCATGGTACCCTGATTGTAGCAACGATAATGGGGTCTGGAGCCAGAAATTTCCAGCTCCTAATGTTTGTGACAGGCTTTACCACTTAGGAAGCATATTGATGTATCTTGTAAATTTTCATTTTAAAGCATTACCCTAATCCTCAGAGGCTGATGGGGTAGATACTACCTTCATTTTAGAGATGTGTGGCAGAGATGAGTGGCAGGCTTGGCCACACGGTGGAGTATATCAGGAATGATGCACAAAGTTCTCCCGACTCCATAGTTAGGGCTGTTTCCTCCTCCAGCTCTGTTTTCAGGGTTGGGATCTGCTGACCTTTTTTTTGTGTGTGTGATGGCATCTTGATCTGTCACCCAGGCTGGAGTGCAGTGGTACAGTCTCGGCTCACTGTGACCTCTGCTGCCCAGGTTCAAGTGATTCTCCTGCCTCGACCTCCTGAGTAGCTGAGATTACAGGTGCCCGCCACCACGCCCAGCTAATTTTTATATTTTTGTAGAGACAGGGTTTCACCATGTTGGCCAAGCTGGTCTTGAACTCCTGACCTCAGGTGATCCGCCTGCCTCAGCCTCCCAAAGTGCTGGAATTACAGATGTGAGCCACCTCACCCAGCCTCTGCTGACTTTTCTTACCCAAGATGATTATTGGCCACAAGACGTTTTTGCAAATGCTTCCCTGTGGTTGCCACTTCTTAGCCAGGCACTGGCACCCTTGTGCAGTGAACAACTTGCACAATTGCACGTGGCAGCCTTTGTTCTTGCCAATATAACAGCATGGGTTGTAGACAGCAGTGTGGTTGTAGTGTGAGGTTCTGTTGCTGTTTGTGTGTTAACTGTTAATTATTTTCCACAGGTATTAGTCACTGTACCACTGGCTTTACTACAGAAAGGTGCCATTCAGTTTAATCCACCGCTGCCAGAGAAGAAGATGAAGGCTATCAACAGTTTAGGTGCAGGCATCATTGAAAAGGTGACTGAAATTACTTCATCCTCAGAAAGAAAGAGATTAATGTCAGATGACAGATGTTAACTTCTGATGTGGAGAAGTAGTGGGTAATATCTGAATACAAATAAAATTCAAAGATTTCCTTTTCATTTGAGTAATTGTTCATGAAGAACCCAAAAGAATATTACCGAAATGAAAGGAGGAGAGCTGGCTGAGGTCTGTGAGTTCTGACTTTAGGAGAAAGAATCTTGTTAGGAGGAAGTCTTGGGAATGCTGTGCATCTTCAGACTAGCCTGTAGGTTGCCAGTGGGTTCTGTTATCTGTGGGTTTGGAACTGAGTGGCATCAAAAACAAGGAGCTGGGTTGGGTGCGGTGGCTCACACCTGTAATCCCAGCAATTTGAGAGGCCAAGGCAGGTGGATCACCTGAGGTCAGGAGTTTCAGACCAACCTGACCAACATGGTGAAACCTCGTCTCTACTAAAAATACAAAATTAGCGAGGCATGGCGGTGGCCTCCTGTAATCCCAGCTACTTGGGATGCCGAGACATGAGAACCACTTGAACCCAGAAGGTAGAGGCTGCAGTGAGCTGAGATTGCTCTATTGCACTCCTACCTGGGCAACAAGAACGAAACTCCCATCTCAAAAAAAAAAAAAAAACAGAAAACAAAAAACTCTACAAAAAAAACAAGAAGCTCACAAGGAGAAAAAGGCAGTGAGGCGAATGGAAAGAGTGGCATTTTGGTTTGTTCTTTCAGGCAGTGAGATTAATATCAGATGAGCTACAGGTTGCTGCTTAGAGATTTCTTGTGGTTTTGTGACGACAAACACTTCACCATCTTTCCTTTGCTCACTTTGCAGATCGCCTTGCAATTTCCATATAGATTTTGGGACAGTAAAGTGCAAGGGGCTGACTTTTTTGGTCATGTTCCTCCCAGTGCCAGCAAGCGAGGGCTTTTTGCTGTGTTCTATGACATGGACCCCCAGGTAAGATCCTTTGCGAACTGTGGTTTGGATTTTCGTCTTAAAGTTTACAATTTATGTGGTAATTACTCACATATCAAGCTCAGGAACTGATGAACATCGTGGAGACCCTTGATCTGTGTCTATATTCTGGGAGAACACTGGACTGGACACTTTCCTATAGGAAAGGAGCCCCAGTATTTGCTGTATCTTCTTGAAGTTCTCATGTTGCTCCCTGGGACATGAATTGGATGCCTGTGGAAACTGTCATTCCAGGCTGTAGGGGAGTTTCTCTTAGGTGAAGTTGGAGCTGGCAGCGTCAGTGAGTGGTGCTTGAAACTTCCTCTGTGAGGGTCCTCTGGGGAGCTGGGAAAGGGCCGTATGATTAGTGAGGGAGGGTGTGAGTGTCAGCAGATGTGAGAGCTGAGGGAAGGAAGGAGAGAGGAGAATGGCATACCTGGAGATGAACGGTGGTCACTTTCCCTGCTGCAATGTTGCTGCCACACGAAAAATCAATCACAGCTGTTTCCGACTTTCTCTCAATTTCAAGAAACCTTGTCTTAGATCTTCTTTACCATTTGAGGGTTTTTTCATTGTTTTACCTGTAGATTTTCCTTCTCCATCTCTACTTCTTCGGAAGCAAGCTTTTATTAGTGAACAGTCGAGGGAACCCTAAATTTGCTATTTACTTTTCTTAGTGTTTTTTCCAGCAGGAAGCAATAGAGTGGATGGATAAATAATGCGTGTTTGTGAGGAAAATGGACTGGCGAGTGACGTGAGGATAAGGGGCAACCAGAAATAGTGAAATTTAACTTGTGAGAGTGCGGCTCTTGGTTGGGTGCAGTGGCTCATGCCTGTAATCCCAACACTTTGGGAGGCCGAGGTGGGCGCATCAGCCCTGAGGTCAGGAATTTGAGACTGACCTGAGGTCAGGAGTTTGAGACCAGCCTGGCCAACATGGTGAAACCCTGTCTTTACTAAAAATACAAAAATTATCCGGGCATGGTGGTGGGCACCTGTAGTCCCAGTTACTCAGGAGGCTGAGGCAGGAGAATCACTTGAACCTGGGAGGTGGAGGTTGCAGTGAGCTGAGATCACACCATTGTGCTCCAGCCTGGGCAACAGAGCAAAACTGTCTCATTAAAAAAAAAGAAAAAGAAAAAAAAAAGGAGGTCCTTATCTGAGGGAGCCGAACACTCAGGGACTTTCTGCTTTTCCCTTTGGTGTCTCCAGAAGAAGCACAGCGTGCTGATGTCTGTGATTGCCGGGGAGGCTGTTGCATCCGTGAGAACCCTGGATGACAAACAGGTGCTGCAGCAGTGCGTGGCCACGCTCCGGGAGCTGTTCAAGGAGCAGGTGAGAGAAAGCCCTCCCTGAAAGGAGCAAGCAGTGCCTGCTATTCAGAGCGGGTGTGGAAGCCCAGGCAGCCATGGAGAATCAAGGAAAGGAAGGCGGGGGCCACAGTCTTTCTTTCAGAGCCCCACTGCCCATCACCACTGAGTTGAGTTTGTGAGGGCTGCCATCGGAGTACCTTAGACAACAGAGACTTACTTCCTCACAGTTCTGGAGGCTGTACGCCTGAGATCAAGGTGTCAGGAGCGCTGGTTTCTCCTGGGTCTCCTCCCTCTTGCATGGGCTTTCCTCTGTGTGTGTGTGTGTCCTCATCTCCTCTACTTATGAGGACACCAGTCAGATTAGATTAAGGTTCACCCTGGCGACCTCACTTAAAGTAATTACCCATCAGAGACCCGGTCACCAAATACAGTCACATTCTGAGGGTTAGGGCGTCCACATGGGAATTTAAGGGGGGCATGGTTCTGCCTGCAATAGTGCCCTGTACTTTTTATTAAAAAAAAAAAAAAAAAAAACACAATTGTCTGGCACGTGCCTGTAATCCCAGCTACTTAGGAGGCTGAGGCAGAATTGCCTGATCCCGGGAGGCGGAGGTTGCGGTGAGCTGAGATCACGAGCGAAACTCCGTCTCAAAAAAAAAAAAAAAAAAAATTGTCTTCTCTTTTTTCTTCTCACTTCATGCACACTTCACCTTTTTTTAAGGATATAAAAGGCTCAGTATTCTCTACATGGATTCTCTATTTACTGAAGCTCTAGAAGCTCTGACTACAGCTTTCCTTTAAAAGGAGCCTTGTCCAGCTTTTTCTGATATGCCACACATGCAGATAGTCTCTTTTCTGTCTTTTTCCAAGCAGCTCAGGATACTTTATTTGCCAGTGTACTAAATCTCACCATCTCTGGAGATTTGTAAATGGCCATGGCTTATGTCTTTTTCAAATAAAGGATCAGAAATAGAAGTGAAATGACTCAAAAGTTACATAAAGAGAAAGGGGCATTCAGATATGTTGCTTATTTTATTTATTTTTTAGATGGAGTCTCACTCTGTTGTCCTGGCTGGAGTGCAGTGGCGTGATCTCGGCTCACTGCAACCTCTGCCTCCCAGGTTTCAGCGATTCTCCTGCCCCAGCCTCCTGAGTAGCTGGGATTACACGTGTGTGCACCACCACACCCGGCTCATTTCTGTTACTTTAGTAGAGTCGGGGTTTCATCATGCTTGCCAGGCTGGTCTAACTCCTGACCTCAAGTGATCTGCTCACCTCGGCCTCCCAAAGTACTGGGATTATAGGCGTGAGTCACTGTGCAGCTGGCCTTGTTGCTAATTTTATATGAGAGGAACTATCTAGTGATGTAATTCCTTGCTTGGGGTTTTTGTTCAAAAGTTTGTTTTTTACATTATTTGTTTGGAACTTAGCACAGTGTTTCCATAGAACTATTATTCATGGTGATGCTGGTCAGAGACCAGCTGACAAATTACAGTTCTCTCTTTCTCGAGGTTTTGCTTTCGTGGATTCAGTTAGTGTGGTCAACCAAGGTCCAAAAATCTTTAATGGAAAATTCCAGAAATAGTTTCATGTTTTCAGCCATGCACCATTCTTGAAGAGCGTGTCCAGCATCTCTACAATGTAGACGCTGCCTGCCCATTAGTCACTCAGTTATCAGAGCCACATTTACATACCTTTTACTTGAGTATAGTGTTACACTTGTTCTATTTTTTTATTAGTTATTGTCATTAGTCTCTGTGCCTAATGTATAAATGAAACTTTATCATAGGTATGAATAGGAGAAAACTGTATATATTGTATTGGTTCGGCCTGTGGTTTCAGACATCCCCTGGAGGTCATGGAACATATTCCTGGCAGAGAAGGGGGACTGCTAGATTTTAAATGGAGTGAATGTGCAACATAGCCTTGTATCACTGTGCTGTGGAGAGCCCTGTTGAGAATTCCAACCTGTTATCCTAAGACTCTACACTTCCCTTTCTTCTTGGGCCAGAGACTCCTTTCTGCTGCCACACAAGGGAAAAGGGAAGGCCCAAACTTTTTTTTTTTTGGAGACAGTCTCTCTCACTCTGTCACCCAGGCTAGAGTGCCATGGCACGATCTCGGCTCACTGTAACCTCTGCCTCCCAGGTTCAAGTGATTCTTCCGCCTCAGCCTCCTGAGTAGCTGGGATTATAGGCGTGCGCCACCATGCCTGGCTCATTTTTGTATTTTTAGTAGAGATGGGGTTTCACCATGTTGGTCGGGCTGGTCTCAAACTCCTGACCTTGTGATCACCCACCTCGGCCTCCCAAGGTATTGGGATTACAGGCATGAGCCACTGCGTCCGCCAAGGCCGAAACTCTTAGCCATGGGCGATAGCCCCCACTAGGGAGAGTGTGTGTCCCGGGCAGAAGGAGGAGGTATAGAAGTGAGGGAATTGTGTGTGGGTGGGGCAGGAGAGAGAAGGTAAGACACAGATACCAGCCTGGGTAGATGTAAAGACGGCAGGAGGAACACCTTGAGAACTACTGTTGCAGAATGCTGCAGGAACGGACTCCAGTCCTAAACGGCGCAGAATGTCTGAGTTAGGTTGCACTATGTCTAAGCATTTCTTTCTCCTGGACACAGGAGGTCCCAGATCCCACAAAGTATTTTGTCACTCGGTGGAGCACAGACCCATGGATCCAGATGGCATACAGTTTTGTGAAGACAGGTGGAAGTGGGGAGGCCTACGATATCATTGCTGAAGAAATTCAAGGAACCATCTTTTTCGCTGGTGAGGTATGGATCTTGATTCCAAACCCAATTACCTGTATTTGGATTTCTTTCTTTTAACTAAAATGATATCTGCACAGAGTTTAAAAACCAACTCAAATACTGTTGAAAGTTTTTGACGGCAGACTGCAGAAGCCTTCTCAGTTTCGTCGTCTTACTCCCAGAGGCAGCCATTTTTAACCTTCCAGCTATTGTTTCTGGACTTCACTTCCTATTTTCAAAGTGTTTTTATTGCCATCTCTCTTTCTTCTTTGTTTTTGGAGACAGGGCCTTGCTCTGTGGTCCAGACTGGAGTGCGGTGGTGCAGTGCTAGCTCACTGGACCCTCAAACTCCTAGGCTTAGGTGATCCTTCCACCTCAGCCTCCTAAGTAGCTGGGACTGCAGGCATGTGCCACCAAGCCTGGCTTTTTTTTTTTTTTTTGTAGAGATGGGGTCCATTGTGTTGCCTAGTCTGGCCTCAAACCCCTGTCCTTAAGCAGACATCCCACCTCAGCCTCACAGTGTTGGGATTACAGGTGTGAGCCTCCATGCCTGGCCTCTGATGCCATCTTTCAAGTTAACATTAGACATTATTGACTGCCTTCTTATTGGGTTAAAGACTTAGCCAGTTTAGTCTCTGCACCAATTGCCCAACATGGTTATTTCACACTTTAATTAAATTGATAACAGTATTTACATGGCTGTGTAAATGTTGTTTACTGCTGAGCCAAGAAGGTATCCACTGATAGCTTCTTAAAGAGTTTTCTGTTTTCTTGGCAGTCGTCATAGCCCCTTTGGTCATCAGCTTAATTCCTTTGGTATCTCTCCCTATTTGTCTCTAATTTACAGTTGACACTGAGCTGGCCTGCTAGCTCCAGTCCTTGAACTGCCGCTTCCTGTGCCCTCCGCCTTCTGCTCTGACTCTTAAAATCACTCGCCAGCACTGGGCCTTTATTTCCAAGACCCCTCTTTCTTGATTTACTTCCATTGAAAAATGTTTTGCTATTCTGGTTTCTGAGCCTTTTACTTCATTTTTTAATTTATCTGCTCAAATAAGTTTTTTCTGTTTATTCCTAGAGATTCTGTTCTCTATCTTGGACTTTTTGAACTGACCTGATTTTTCTTTATTCATCTCTTATTTCTACTTTTGGGGGAAATTTAAAAATCTTGCAACTCTCGAACTGACTTTAAAAATTTTGGCTTTTACTTTGAGCACTTTCTTGTTTGCAAAACGTTCCTTTTTGGTAGCATCCTCTTCTTATAAATGGTTTTAAGGTGATTAAAGTTTTGGGTGTTTTTGCTTTTCTGCTCCCTCCCTCCCTGGTTTCCTGAGTCTCAGAGTTCCTGTTTGATGTGCTGTAGACTTTGCCTGCTACATGCCCAAATCCCTGATCCGTGACTGTCAGCTTAGATTTGAGTGAGGCATTTTCTTAAAAGCTTTGTGAAAGCTCCAGCAAGCTTATCAACCGGTGGCCGGATTCCCAAGCATCACTGTCTGCCTGGCCACAGTTAGTCTCCTGTGTGGTGGAAGCTCAGCCCCTGGCATTGTGGCACTGGAAGCTTCATTGTTACTTATGAGGACTTCATTTCATCCCCATTTCATTTGGTGCTTCCCCTAACCTCTAAGTCAAATCTCTGAGTTGCAGCTGGTCAAGTGGAGAATCTGGTGAGGGACATATTAATAATTGCTTTCTACAGTCTTTTAACCATTCCTGTTTTCACCCCTTGCCAACCTCTCCATGGTTCCTCACACCTCCAATGGCTGAGATTTTCTAAGGATTCTTTGGGATGAATTGGTTTGCTTTTTGTGGTTAGCACCCCTGCTCCCAACTCCAAACTTAAAATGAATTGTTACCAGTCTTTGACCTGTGTTCATCTTTGTTTAATATGGTTTGGAAGTACACGTCTCATTATTTCGTCTAAAATATAGTTAAGTGTTTTTAACATCAGTTGGGTGGGTGCGTTGGCTCACTCCTGTAATCCCAGCATTTTGGTAGGCAGAGGCGGGCACATCACCTGAGGCAAGGAGTTTGAGACCATCCTGGCCAACATGGTGAAACCCTGGGGATCTCCTCTAAATATACAAAAATTAGTCCGGTGTGGTGGTGCATGCCTGTAGTCCCAGCTACTCAAGAGGCTGAGGCAGGAGAATCACTTGAACTTTGGAGGTGGAGGTTGCAGTGAGCCAAGATCACGACATTGCACTCAGCCTGGGTGACAGGGTGAGACTCCATCTCAAAACAAAAGAATGACATCTAAAAACCAGATGGCTTTGATTACTCCTTGACCTGTGAAGACCTTACTCTGTGGGACAGAGATAAAGGCTGCATGCCAGACAACAAATAGCCGCAGTTTCTGAGAGAAGGCTGTTTCAAGATACTGTGCCTCAGGGTCATGAGCATGGTTGACATGGCTTCTTGCTTTCCTTTGCTGCAAATACTACCTTTTTTTTTTTCTTTGTGTGATGGAGTCTTGCTGTTGCTCAGGCTGGAGTGCAGTGGCACAGTCTCAGCTTACTGCAACCTCTGCCCCGCTGGCTTCAATTCTCTTGCCTCACCCTCCTGAGTAGCTGGGATCACAGGCATGTGCCACCACACCCAGCTAATTTTTCTATTTTTTTTTTTTAATAGAGATGGGGTTTCACCATGTTGGTCAGGCTGGTCTCAAACTCCTGACCTTGTGATCTGCCAACCTCTGCCTTCCAAAGTGCTGGGGTTACAGGTGTAAGACACCGCACCTGGACTACCTCTTCTAAAAACTTGTTTCTGAGGCTTCCATCCCGCACTGCTACTTTCTCCCCCAACTAGTCACTGTATTCCTGCTGCCTTAATCACTCCCTTTCATTGAAGTCTTTGGCCCCTGGATGTTTTCCCTTCCACCCAGCCATCAGTTTAACGTGACTAGACTTAACATCACTTCTCCATTTCTTATCCTGTTTTCTGTGGTCTGTTCAGCTCCTCTTCAGCTACCCGTTTTCTCAGCCACATTTCAGACCTCATCAGAACTACTTATCGCTAATTCTAGCCGCCTCCTACCCTATGCTCCCCATTCTGGTATGCTTAGTCTGTTCCCGTCACAGCCATCCCTTGAGTGAGGTTCTCCTGCCATTAAGTTGTTTTACTTCCTCCCATTCCATCAGCCCTCACTCATATTTTATCTTTTTCTTACTGAACTTACAGTCCCTGGTCGGTCCTTTGAGTAACTTAACTCTGTACCCATTTTTTCCACCCATCTAGCAAAACTCCCATCTGTGGCTTGGCTGAATTGGCAATCATTTTTGTACTTGTTTGCCTGTGATTGTACCAGCTACATTACTTGTCTGATGGGAGGGACTAAAGTTCTTAACTGTAGTACCTGTCACACATAGATATTTAGTACTTTAATGAGTGCTGCATAGTACTTCAAGATCGCATACGAGTGAATCTGACAATGCACCGCAAGATAACGGAGAAAGTTCCAGTGTTACGATGGATGAGTAATGTGAATATGAGCACACAGGAGTGGCGCATATCTTCATTTTAGACTTGTTCTACCTTTTAATATCACCTCGGTTCTTCATGCATGATCTCAAATTATGTAATTATGTTTTACAGGCAACAAACAGGCATTTCCCACAAACTGTTACAGGGGCATATTTGAGTGGTGTTCGAGAAGCGAGCAAGATTGCAGCATTTTAAGAATTTGGTGGACCCAGCTTTCTTCTGTACCCCAGATGGGGAAATTGGAATGACTTGTTAAACGTCGGTTTTATAAGAGGGGGAAAAAGCCCTCTCTACACTGCAAAACTGAAACATTTCTAAGGTGATATGAGGTAAATCTATTATTTCATCACTCTGAAAGCACTGATCCCAAAAATCCTTATAAGCACTTATATTTAATTGCATTTTCCATAGGTTCAACTACTGCTCAAAGTCTGGATTTCAGAATAAGGCAGAATATAAGCTTCAATTGAAGCCATGGGTATGATTGTTCCATGGCTGGAAGTTCCCTTTAGATTTCACATTTTGTATGGCTGACCAATTTTCATACATTGAGAAACCAAGTCAATCAAGCAGGAATCATTTAAAAAACCAGATAAAGCCATGTTTTTCGTCTGTGACAGTTTGTCAATATCTTTACCAATGAGCCTTAATATTTTTTATATAGCTCCAATATTGAACTTTTACTTAAAATTTAGATAGAACTTTTTTTTGATACAGCACAAACTCCAGTTGACAGTAAAATGAAGTTTCTAGGTATTTCATATTGTACATATTTTCTCCCATTGGGTGTTCAAAAGAAGTTTAAATTGAAGTATCTTTTGTGATAAAACGTTTTGGAGTTACGCACTTATTGGTAAAACAGGCAAGTTTCCATATAGGTATTGTATCGTCGAGAGTGGAGCACAGATAGTGTGGGCTTTACGCTGTAGACACAGAATGTCTTTTTCTTAAAACCAGATTTGGGTGATAGAACACCTTAAATATCCTCATTTTTGGCAACCACTAGGCAAAAAACTTGTCAGAATAATTTAATCAAAGCCCCTCTCCACTTCTGCTTTTATTTACAAGAACTGACTCAATTGCTAGGAATATTTTTGCAGACTTTTCTTTTCAGTATTCCATAGGCAGGTCCACTGGAAAACTGCAGAAAAATGTGAGCTCTCCTGGTAAATACTAAATATTTTATAAGCCATATTTAAAGGTCTAAGAACATGGCAAGTACTTACTGTTTTCTTTTTTTAAAACACTCATGGCAGAAAACCATTTATTGATCTCATTCTAAAATAAACACTGGTTTCAGGGTCTTCAGGATGCCGATTTTGCCAAGAAACTTCAGTTTACCAGTTAGAAATAAGCTTTTGTTTTCAAGTCTTAAACCAATTCTTTAATTATAATGGTTTGCTTAAAAAAAAAAGGGGGGACTAAAGATGACTTTAAAGAGACTTTTCAAAATACTATTTAAAATTTTTAAAAGGTCAGTTTATAACACGTAAATACCTAACACAAATAATGTACAGTGGAACTTACGCATTTAAGATACCATGCCTCACCCCCGCCCCAATCAAAGTATAGTCCAAAAAAAGCCAACAGCTGTATATCTACATTAACCCAAGACAACCCTGATATTTTGGTTATTTGTTGAGACTCATTGGTACTGACTGCCAAGTCTTCTGTTTTAAAGTACTGTGTATTAAAATGTTTAGACAGCATGTGTTTTAAAGCGATAAATGCAAAATATTAAGTTTGAAATGGTTAACAGTAAATTATTACTTTAGTTTCTGGGCACTTGAACTGTGCTACAAGTAGGGGAAACCTACCTAAAGTATGGCAAATGTGTGTTTTAAGTTTCCTATCAAGTGACATACTTCATTTGACTTTTTGTTTAAGGAGCCATGGTACTTTTTTCTTGAGTTATTTGGATATGTTTTTTCAGTGCCATCTGAAGATTTTGTAATTGAGTAGCAGTAAATATACAAATTTCCAGTGTTTTAACTACAGTTCATGAATAGCTGTTGTGTAAAACTACTTAATAAAAAACTAGACTTTCAAATGCACTGTGTACAGTAGTTTAGTAAGTGTGCTCATCAAGAACTCACTCCATTTCCTCACTTCCATACTCTCTGCATAGTAAATGGTCATAAAGTATTAACCTTAACTGATAGTTTTGTGAAGTCAATCCGAGAAAATGGTCCGTTATCACAAAAGAGTACTCCAAATTGTATAGGTTACAGGGCTGAATCCATTTAAAAATCCCTGTTCTGAATTATTCACCACAGGGAAGGAAATGCTCTATAAACCTATAAAACAACAAATGCAAGACACTTAAAACACCAGTGATCTAGATTTATTTTTATTGACAAGGTTTATAAGAACAACTATTTAAAATCAAAGGCCAATCATTAGGTCTCACTTAGTTGCTTATTTGATTCACTTGTATTTACCTTTCCCTGGTGTCTGAATAACTATCAAGAAACAAGTTGAACCTGTGAAAATACCTGTTAACATTCAACATTTTTACATATTTCTGTTCTATGATGCAAAGATATTTTTAAACACTTAATCGGTACATCAGATATCTCATTCTGTCATAAGTAGCATGTTTTAAAATTCAGATTTAATAAGTTGATTAAGACAGCAAATTTGAAAGACAAAATTAGTATCATTCAGGAGTGGTCCATTATATTGATAATCTAGAATCCTGATTAGCCAAACTTTGAAAGCCAAGAGGCCCAACACCAAAAACACATTAAATGTCTTTGATGTAAAAGTACATTATCATTTTTGAAACACACTTTGTAAAAGATATCCACCACTGCCTGCAACATTATATTCTAGCATTATAATCTGGTACTTTATTCGTAATTATGAAGGTGGCTAGGTTTCCAGTAAATATCAGCATTTTATATGGGCAAAAGCAGTTAATAAAAATTGGTTCATTTACTATAAGCCAAATGTGCTTGTACGTAATCCCACCCTTTCCCAAAGTTTTTGAAGCTTTGATGTGTTGATTTTTGGCCTGTCCTTAATATAAAATGTACCTACAGACAGTTTTACAGAGTTAATACTAAAGTTACAAATTGATGACACTTGCGAGGCAAAGCAGGAGAACTGTCTATTCCTTCAGGGTTCCCATCACTGAATTGACTTTCACTGCTCCATCATACTGTCTGGCTGAACACTGACATTCCATGGTCTACAACTCTAAGGATACCTACCTATGTGAGTTTAAAAAGTGATCTGCACAAAAGAAATAAAAAAACTATATACAACAAATTGGTTTTTAAAAATACAAAAATAACATCTGTCACTTTTGTCATGCTGACAATTTGACATATATACACATGCAGGAGAAAAGTTCCAATTCAGTCATCTGGACAACTGTAGCCTGTATATTTTTAATATGATGAACACACTGCCATTGAATTTTCACATGACAATGTGTATTCAAAATATTTCATATACTAAATACTGCAGTATCTGTGTGTATAAATGCAATATCTGTGTGTATAAATGCCAGTCATAATAGTTTTTATTCTACTTGATGTAAAAGTATGTCTTAAGCAAGCTAATACTAAGTGCACTAAAAACCACAACAGTTCAAGAATCTACGATGACCTTATATAAAGAAACCAAAATTTACAAAATACAACTATAAAAGCAAGGAATAATTAATGCCATGCAAGATTTCAAACTAAAAATGGCATACAAATGCAATTTAAAACAGCAAACTCAAATTCACATAACACTCAAGATAAAAAGGTCAGCAGTAAGTTCTACTAACATTGCTTAACAAGGATTTAGAAAAAGAAATACATTCTCTTTGCTGGTATAATGGTATAAATCCGATCTTCAAATCTATGGGAACGAGTCATCTTCTCTGTCCTCTTACCTCAAGAAATTAGCTATAATGAAAGAAACATTTTGCCATAAATCATAAGCCTATATTCCATTTTTCTACCTCTATTTTATTATTTTGACCTTCAAAAATCACTTGGGATAAACATAGAATTGTAGATACCTGCTGATCTTCCTCTCACCTTTGCCTGGTAGAGAGGAACTTGTCCTCAAGTATTTGTGAGAGCAACTTTGAGATGCCCAGCTACCCATGTACCATGAGTCCACATCTTCATGTGAGTTCAGGTCTTGTCACTAACTGTTCAAACTTTAATTTTAAGCTTTAAAGTAGGAATGAGAAGAAATATATTTCCCTATGTATTATGAAGAAATGTGAGGATCAAATGTGATATTTAATGACATGAATATTTTGAAAAATATGGAATATTTTATGTAATGACTTTTTTATTTCTAAAGTCAAACTTGAAAAGATGGAAATACTTACCTCTTTTACAGTTGTTTTTATGAAATCTTTTCTTTCAGTTAAGTCATAGGCAGGATAATTTTCATAGACCTATGCATAGTGAAAAGGAAAAACAATGTTAAAAGCATATTTTTAAATCCAGTAATAGTCTGTCTTAGAATTTAAAAGCAAGAAATCTGCTATGTATAGCTACAACTATTCCAACAGTTGTCTGGTTCACCCATATAGAATTCTACTGCAAATGAGTATTTTAATAATACCGTATATGATGTGGAAAACTAGTGTGCAAACATTCTTGATGCTTTCAGGCTGAGAGTTTGGGATGAATTAATAAAGCCAGGTGTGGTGGCTCATGCATGTAATCCCAACACTCTGGGAAACCTATGTGGGAAGATCACTTGAGCCCAGGAATTGAAAACCAGCCTGGGCAACTGTTGAGACCCCGTCTCTACGCCAGGCATGGTGATGCATGCTTGTAGTCCCAGCTACTCGGGAGGCTGAGGCAGGAGGATGGCCTGGGCCCAGGAAGTTGAGGTTGCAGTGGGCTGTGTTGGTGGCACTGCATTCCAGCCTGGACCACAAAATGAGACCTTGTTTCAAAAACAAAACCCCCAACAAATAAGGGTAAAGAAAACATCTAGATAGATCTAGATAGATATATTAGGTAAGTGAACTAAGGTGTTTATGTTGGCAAGTCATCTGCCACTTGTCTTTTAGAGAAAGTTGCTTTCTTCTCCAACCCTTGTTATCATCCAACACGCTACACCTACAATACACAATCTGAAATGCAATGAACTGCATCCTCTACTCCACTGCTCAATCCCTCTTCCTAAAGTTAAAACCTAAGACCCCAGTGGTCTCAAAGAGTCCACTACTCCTAAAATTTTGACTCTAAATTTCTCCCTTTTGTCAACTTTTTCAGTTCTATTACACTTGCTGCTTGACTTCAAGTCCTGACTTGCTGTCAAACTGACTTGATAAGCTCAGTATGTAAGAACTTGCAAGCTTTACTTCTATTGTATAGCTCAGGGTCATCAACTTTTTCTGTCAAGGGCTAGATGGTACAAATAGTTTCAACTCTGCCAGTCAGTTTCTGTCACAACTACTCAACCACGCATTGTAGTGGCCATGCTGCCACAATCGTTAATAGATGTGGCTATGAATGTAAAATGAACAGATGTGGCTATGAAATTAAATTTTGCTTACAAAACCAGGTGACAGAATAGATTTGGCCCATAGGCTGTAGTTTGCTAACCCTCCAAAATATTGGTGATCTTTAAATTACTCTAATTGTTTGCCCCTTTCTTTTCCTGCAAAACCCCAATCCTGAATTGGTCTAAGTACTCATTTTTCTATGGTCAAGCTCAGACTACAGATTGCTGTGGGAAAGCAGCTTTGAAGAGACTGGTCCCATTTTCAGTTCATGGCATCAATTTATCTCCAAAGGCTCCTCCCCCAGCGACCCACCCCCAGAGTCAGGCTCTCCTTTCATTCCCACCAATGGCAGTTTCTCCTTGTTACAGTGTCTCACACTCCTGCTGTCAGCCAAAAAGCCATTATTATGAAATCCTTCAATTTTCTGACAGCTCCTTCCCCTCCAGTTGTATCTGGATTCATCAATGGTTCTTAATTTTTTCTGCCTCCACAGGCAAATCTCCTGTAACTTCTCCTTTCCCACCAAAATGCTTTCTCCCCTCCACTCCTACCCTTTAAAAATACTTCTCACCTACCCCATTTACCTATTTTCCTTACAAAGAAGGCTGCTTGGAACAAAAGATTTACTTTGTTCATTTTCCTCACTATTCATGAATAATCTTGATTTTACCACCCTATGTCATCGTCTCCTAACTGCAGACTCCAAAAAAGGTCACGGCCTTCTCACCTGACCCCTCCATGCTGTTATTAATCCCTTTTTAAAAAATTACATGAAGGTATTCACAAAAATCCTTCTAATGGACAGAACTACTTTCTCTTTTGACTTCCTCTCCTCTCCACCTTATCCTCTCCCTTCAGAAAAAAACAAGTTTTGGTGTATAATCTTCCAGAACTTTATACATACACATGTATATGTATAAATGGCAAAAGGGTTTTTTGGTATTTACATATATGGAATAATCATCTATATGCTTTAAAAATTTAACAATACCTGGTTTTTCCAAGTTCTTTTGAACTAATACATAGTATTCCAAAACATGGATGTAGCAGAGCTTAAGCATTTCCTACTGAACATTTACCTTGTTTGTAATTTTTCAATGCTGAACATACTATAATCATTTTGGTGAAGATGTTACTATATCATTAGGATAGAGACCTAGAAATGGAATTGCTAGGTTAAAGGGCACTGCAATTCAAAGATACTACCTACTGTCCTCCAAAGAAGCAGTTATAACTTAAAGCATATGAGAACATGTTTCCCTAATTATCCTGGGCAACAACGAAAACTGCCAATCTTCCTAATTTTTTGTCAGTTTAACAAGCAAAACTATTTCCTTTTAATTCCTATCTCCCTATTTAGTAGGGAAAGTTGAGTGCTTTATGTTTATAGGGGTTTTTTTTTTGTATTTTTTCTGTGAATTGCCCCTCTATATCCACTGCCCATTGTCCCACTGTCCCATAAGCTGATCACCCTTTTCTTTCTTTCTTTTTTTTGAGATGGAGTCTTGCTCTGTCAATCTGGAGTGCAATGGCCTGATCTCAGCTCACTGCAACCTCCCTCTCCCGGGTTCAAGCAATTTCCCTGCCTCAGCCTCCTGAGTAGTTGGGACTCCAGGCACGTGCTACCACGCCCAGCTAATTTTTCTGTATTAGAGACAGGGTTTTACCATGGGCTGGTCGTCTTAATCTCCTGACCTCCTGATCCACCCGCCTCAGCCCCCAAAGTGCTGGGATTATAGACCTGGGCCACTGCACCTGGCCTCCCTTTTCTTAATTGCTGCCATCTTCCCTCACCCTCGCCTTCCAAAAACTGCCTCTTCTCCTGGCTTCACAGCAACACTCCCTCTGGCCTTTCTTTTATCACAGGGGTCCCCAGCCTTTGGGACACGAACCTGTACCAGTCAGTGGCCTCTTACAAACCAGGCCATGCAGCAAAAGGTGAGCAGAAATTTCACCCATGTTTATAGCCACTCCCCACTGCTTGTATTGCTGTCTGAGCTCTGCCTGTCAGATCAGCAGTGGCATGAGATTCTCATAGGAGCATGATCCCTAGGTGAACAGCACATGAGAGGGATCTAGGTTGTGCTCCTTACAAGAATCTAATGCCTGATGATCTGTCACAGTCTCCCATCACCCCAAGATGGGACTGTCTAGTTAGTTGCAAGAAAACAAGCTCAGGGTTCCTACGGAATCTACATTATATGTTGAGTTGTATAATCACTTCATTATGTATTACAGTGTAATAGTAATAAAGTACACAATAAATGTAATGCACTTGAATCATCCTGACACCAGCCCCCCAAAATCCAAGGAAAAATTGTCTTCCATGAAAACAATTCGTGGCCTCAAGCAGTCCTCTAGCTTCAGCCTATCAAAGTGCTGGGATTACAGGCATGAGCCACCACATCCAGCTTCTACCAGTAACATTTAGCCCAGTGCCTGATATGTAGCAGAGGATCAACGAATGATGAATAAACAATGTCCTTAAAAAAAAAAAGCATAGATTTATTTCATTTTCGTACATTTAAAATTGTAGTTTTACCACAACAGACAAGATTCCAAAATTTCCACAGAATACCTATGGAATCATATTCAAGACTAGGCCACTTTATTTCCCAAGAAGTATTAGAAATATTAGAAAAATGCCACAGAAGTCTGAGTTAAGAAACTAATCTATAACAGCTCATTTACCACACTACCAAGAATAAGGCGGTTCATGAGATTCTGCTTCTTTATCATAAAGTAAGAATGTATCAATAGGAACAACCTCCAGATCCGGAAAAAGTTTCCCATGTGGTTTGGAATGCATCACTTTAATCTTATTCACTCAAATTTTATTCATTCTAATGTTATTTATAAAAGTAACTCCATTAGGACAGAGTCTATTTTATTTAAAGTGGTGGTATCCCAGCAGCTGTAAGATCTAGCATACAGTAGTTCAATAAATATTTCTTCAATAAGTGAATGCACGTAAGTATTTAGCTTCAAATTAAGAGACAGGGGAAAGAATTTTTCTAGTAAAAGCAAAATAATCTAAACATTTATCTAATTACCTTTTTGCAAATCTGTTTCATTGTGACTTCTTCCAAGTTAGCACTGGCCAGTAATTTCTTTATTGTTTCCTTTAACTCTTCATCTGTAGGGGGTTTCTTCAACTTTTTAATTAAAGGTTCATCATCTGAACTATCCTCAGACTCACTTTCTAAAAGTAATACATTTTATTAAATATGAATAATTTTTCTTACATAGAAAATTAATATTTAACAAAGGTTGAGATGAATTTTAAGCTTTCAACAGATTCTCATAGGGGTACTGGATCCAAAAAACTATAAATCACTACTCTATAAGTTACCTATAAAACATACACATAAATTTTATGTCAACTTGAAAAATCAAAAACTAAAAAACTGGTATATGGGTTGGGCATCCCTAATCCAAAAATAATAAATGTGAAATGCTCCCAAATCCAGCATTTCAGAGCACTAACATGACACCAACTATAGACACTCACATTATTGTGAGATAATTCCACACCCGACCTCATGTGATGGGTCACAGACAAAACTTGGTTTCAGGCAAAGGGCAGTGATCCATGCCTGTAATCCCAGCGCTCTGGGAGGCCAAGGTAGGAGACTCGCTTGAGTCCAGCAGTTCAAGGCTGCAATAAGCTGTAATTGTACCACTGCAATAAATAGTTTATTTAATTGTAAAATTCTCAGGCTATGTAAGAAGAATATGAAACATAAACGAATTTCATGTTTAAACAGGGTTCCATCCCCAGGATACATACATACACATATATATTGCAAAATCTGAATTACTTCCTGTCCCAAGCATTTCAGATAAGGGATATTCCACCTGTATTACTTCTTGCCACAATGTTCTTTTCAGTTTACCTGTTTCCCTTACAGACTATGTACAACATATTAATATATACTGTATCTTTAAAGTTGCTGATTAACGTTATTTCTAACATACCTTTTTTGGAACTGTTCTGATTCTTCTTGGTGGTGCTGCTATCTGCTTTCTTAACATTAGCACTTTTCACAGATTTTTTACTTTTAGGAGTAGCTTTCTGTTTAGGTTTTTCTCTTTTAGCTGTCTTTTTTGGTGGCTGTTAGAAAAGCAAAAGTACACATACTGAGATTCAATGCTATCCCTCTACTTCTCTCCTATACCCCTTAACAATATTAGAGAAAATTAATAAATGTATTTGATATCACCAATTAAAAATTATTTTTGAGAGATGACCAATATACAACACATTATTTTATCCCAGCACAAGTGTAACTAAGCATGACAAATCACAATCACACATAAAAAAGAGATACCCACATTTATTCGGCACTATGGATAAAAAAATACATGTGCATTACTCAGTCTTGGGGGGGACCCTAAATAGAGATACTATTATCTTCTCTTACTATGTTCCCTCTCTCTCACTAGCCTTTTTTTTTTTTTTAAGACAGAGTCTCGCTCTGCTGCCCTGGCTGGAGTGCAGTGGCATGATCCTGGTTCACTACAACGTTCGCACCTCCCCAGTTCAAGGGATTCTCCTGTCTCTAATTCACTAGTAGCTTGGATTGGTGAAACCCCATCGCTACCAAAAATGCGAAAATAAGCTAGGGTGGGTGTGCTTTCCACCACACCTGGCTGATTCTTGTATTTTTACTAGTGATGGGGTTTTGCCATGTTGGCCAGGCTGGTCTTCAACTCCTGACCTCAGGTGATCCATCTGCTTTGGTGTCCCAAAGTGCTGGGATTATAAGCGTGAGCCACCACACCTGGCCTAGAATCTTCTTGTGTTCACTGATGTTTCCCTAACTTCTAAAATAGCCTCTCTCAATAAATACTTATGATTGTAGGAGGAAACCAAGTCTCAGTGAGGTTATCTTGTCCACAGTCAAATTAATAGAGGCAAGATTTAAAGACAGATGTGACTCTAGAACTTTTGTTTTTAAACACTAACCCATAGCTGATTAGACAGAAACAAAATAAATAAATACGGATAGATTAAAATGACAGGCGCGGTGGCTCATGTCTATAATCCCAGCACCGTGGGAGGCCGAGGTGGGCAGATCACAAGGGAAGTGATTGGGACCATCCTGGCCAACATGGTGAAACCCCATCTCTACTAAAAATACAAAAATTAGCTGGGCATAGTGTCATGCACCTGTAGTCCCAGCTACTCAGGAGGCCAATGCAGGAGAACTGCTCGAACCCAGGAGCCAGAGGTTTCAGTGAGCCGAGATTGAGCCACTGCACGCCGGTCTGATGACAGAGCAAGACTCCGTCTCAAAAAAAAAAAAAAAAGACAAAATCAGTGTTCATAGTTACTTTGTCTTATGTGGAGCCTATGAAATTAGGAAGCATTAATTCTTAATTAATATTCCCAAAGGAAAGCATCCTTTTAAATCCTCCCCTTTACACACCAAAACTACTGCAAATCACTTGACAGAACGTTTCTCCAAACGTTTTACACTCTTGATTCCTGAGTGTTAACATAGTAAGTCAACCTGTTTTTAAGGACATAAGCACTGTGCTGAACCCGTCCTTTAAAGTATACAGATCTGTTCCAAAAGTTAAGTGGCCTCAAGCTATTGACTGGATTTTAGTGTCCTTTTTTTTTTTTTTTTTTTTAAAGAAGTAGTTTTGCTATGTGGTCCAAGCTAGACTCAAAACAATCCTCCCACCTCAGCCTCCTGAGTAGTTAGGACTACAGGCACACACCACCTCACCCAAGTGGATTTTAGTGTTTGTCCTTTGTTTTGCTAAAATACCATCGCTACAGCTACTTCAATAAGCCTATCATCACTTATTTAAATAGCTTACACTACCTCAATAATATACTGCTGGCTGGGAAGTATGTAGTTTAACTGCTACTAAAAAATACATTTTTAAGGTGTCAAGGGGCTCACATGCTTCTAAAAGTAAGTACGTAAACTTTCCCATGGACTTTTGCTACTTAGAGGCCATTTTAACTTACTTCCTAATTCTAAGAGATGTTCTAGATGGTGAGGGTTGTGGGGCAAGTATCAGTGATTTCTCAGTTTTTTATGACAAATGTTTTAGGGTTTATTAAGTGAAAAACTAATCCTAAAAACTCTTAATTTTTTAGTGCACTTAATACACAGAATATAATAATCATGATTATATATCATTTTTTAGTTAAAGGGTAATAAAATCTGGACTTGTAGGTACAAGAAACTAAGTTATTACTGAAAGGATTGAAGAGGCTGAGCAAAAGAAACAATATTATCAGTAATTACTCAATCTCCATTCAAATTAAAAAAATTAGAATTAGGTAATTAAAATAATTCCAAGGCCTTTTAAGGCCTGCTAATAAAATTTTAGATGGAATACCCAACCTGGCATCATTTTAAAATCTGCAAATTGCGAGTAGTGACAATTTGACAAAGCATAAACATTTACAGTAAAAAAGAAATAACAAGCCGTTTCTATAACATTTTTCTTCTGATAACAAACAAAACCACATCTTTCTACATTTCACATCTGCTGTAAGGGGTAATGTTCTACAGTTTTTCTAAATGGACACCTAGCCTGTCATTTATTAAAATTTCTTAAAGACTGCAAACATACTGCACAAGCACTCAAGAAAAAAATATAATAGTTCAAAGAGTACAGGCTCTAAAGGCAAGCTACCTCGTTTCAAATTCCAGCCCCAGCAGATCACTGGGCTCTTGCCTCCTCATTTACAAAGTAAGAGAAACAATAGTTCCTACGGTTTTATGGGGAGTAGATGCATTAACACATGCAAGAATTTTTGGTATTACCTGGCAGATAGTAAACACACTAAATATTAACTATTATTACTGAGTGCTTCCTTTTATAGAATGAGAAATTCTTTCATTAAGCAAATATAATTTCATCTAAGAACTTAAAATTTCTAAGTGTTTTCAAAAAGCACGGTGCAGTGTCTCAATCCTGTAATCCCAACACTTTAGGAGGCTGAGATGGGAGGATCATTTGAGGCCAGAGGTTTGAGATCAGCCTGGGTAAAATCACAAGACGCTTTCCCTAAAAAATTAATTTAAAAAAAAACCAAAAAACAAAAAACCAGGGTAGATACACAGAATGGAAATTATAAACACAGTGAGACAGACTCAATAACAACTTTTTAAACTAGCCATGATATACCACACTTACTTCATATTATGGTAGATATAACTTGGCCCACATCTATAAGTAATATGTTATGTCATTTATACCGGATTTCATTTATCTTTAGCAACCAGGTAAATTCTTCTCTAACAAAGTTAAGGTAGGACTTTGGTAAAGTCTCTTTTTTAGATTAGTGCTGGGTTAAGAAATCGTGAAAGCCAAACAGTACAACAACTAATGAACTTGTGTCTGGTGCTTTAGTCCTGCGGGTGTTCATTACTTTGGCTGCCCTGAAGTTATTAGGTATAGGAAGCATAGATAACTCTGGAAAATGGGAGCATCTCAAAAGACATACCTTGGTATTTGGACACAATGGACAATTTTTGGCTGTTAAGGCAGATATGGGTAACCAGTATTTGGAGGTAAGAGACAAAAACACAGAGAGAGCTAAGAAGTCAAGTTAAACCACATCCACTTTAATTTTATATGAACTCTCAAATCTTCATTACTTTCATTCCTCCCCGTACTTACGAAAATCCCACTCATGATTCTAAACCCAGCTTAGCAATTACCTCCTCTAAATCTTTTACAATACCATCAATTTGATTAATCCATACTCTCAAAGTATGTGGCCTGCAATTCATTATCCCTACTTTATGGGAGATATTGTGAAGCTGCAAGAACAAGGGTGTTACAGTCAAACCTCCTGATTCAAATCCTGACTCTACCATTAATTTTGTATTGGAAATCTCTTACCCTTCTCTGTGCCTGTTTCTCATCTGAAAAGTAAAATTTTGCTGACTTTTACCACTTTTCTCATTTTCTTATCTTTGAGATCAGGGTACATCTTATAATGAATATAAAAATGATGCCTCACAGGCATCATAGGTTCTATAAACTGGCCATATCCATAGTTTTTGTGAGGAGAAAATGAATACATACATACAAGGCAGCAAAGAAAACAGACATCTACTATATGCACATTTAGTATACAACAGTTATTGACACGTCGGTTTTCCCACTACAATGCAAGGTTAAGGGTACACTATCTCGATGAGAATAGACACTGATTACCTTATTCATCCCCAGCAAATAGAAGAATGTTTGGCTTATAGTAACCATGTAAATACTTCTTGTTATGTTCATCTCTGTATCATTTGTAGAACCTGATTTAGCTGTACTCTGCACCCAGGAGGCAGTAAAAAAGATATATAACTAAAAGGAGAAAAATGCATCCAAGTAGCTAGTGATCCAAAACCTTACAGTTAGTAAGAAGCAAAACCTGTGATTAAGTCCTGTGTGCCTCCTACTACGTACCTATGTATTTGTTTTCTTTCATTTTTGAGACGGTCTGGTTCTGTCACTCACGTTGGACTGCAGTGGTGTAATCACAGCTAGCTAACCTCAAACTCGTGGACTCAAGTGATCTTCCTGCCTTAGCCATCCAAGTAGCTAGGACTAAAAGCATGCACTATCATGCCAGGCTAATTTTTAAATTTTGTTTTGTAGAGACAGGGTCCTGCTAAGTTGCCCAGGCTGATCCTGAATTCCTGGCCTTAAGTGATCCTCCTGCCTTGGTCTCCCCCAAAGTGCTGGGATTACAGGTGTCAAGTCACTGTGCCTAGCCTCCTATGTTATTTCTTAAGCTATTTGAAATTATACAACTAAATTATCGTAATGAAACAAGTGATACCATATCTTACCATATTGTTAAATTCAGATATTTCACCACTACATACAAATCTTACTAACAATAACAAAGAATTTAAAATGTTGGTAGTAAATACAGAATGGCAACAAAGGAAAACCATTGGTTTTAAGGCTGACTTGCCCCCTACTCTGCAAATTTTGTACTGGCTCCAAGATTCTTTCTTTAGAAATTTTTTTTAAAGCTAAAATGGGTCTTGGTATAATCCAAGTCGTTTTCTGCAAACTCCCCCTGCCCCCGCCGCCACCATATTTTTTTGGGTATGCCAACCTCTCCTATTTAGCCAAGGCCCAGAACCAAATTGCTATGTTCCCTGTAACAAGTTGCTTTGTCTGGATGCATTAAGTTAGTTCCTCACTTTCCCCTAGAAAGAGGTAAAACCTCTTATCTTTTGAGCTTCCACAATATATCGTTCATACCTCATTTTTAGCTCAAGTTATATTCTACTATAGCTGTTTCCTCCTAATCTTTGACTTCTATCTTTTCACCAACTAAACTGACCTGCTTAAGGACAGAGACTCTATCCTATTTATTTCTTGATGTCGAATGCAGAGCTTAGAAATGGGACTTAGTAGTGGCTATGAAATTATCTGGAAAATTGAGATGCAAAAAGATACTGAACATTAAATCAGTTTTAAACATCTCTTCCAACCCTGAGTTTCTATTTCATTAAAATAACCCTGCTCGCTAAGACAAAAATGTTTTCTATTAATAAGCTGGCCGAACTTCTTGATAGGTACTATCACTGTCTTCCAGCACAACTTACCTATATAAGTTGTAAAAAGAAGACCATTAGATCCACTCATCAAGGGTGTTGGGACTGAGCACCCTCGTATATATTTTTGAAGCTCCAGAGCTGACTCATCTAGCTATACCACATAAAATGAAAAGTACATTTATATATTACATTTGTCACCAAGACTTTTTTTTAAAATGCCAGATAGTAAATATTTTCAGCTTTATGGCTACATATAATCTTTGTTGCATATTCTTCCTTTTTTTAAAACCATCACTTAAAAATGGAAAAACCATTCTGAACTTGAGGGCTATATAAAAACAGGCTGCAGGCTGGACTTGGCATACAGGCCACACAGCCTGCTGATTCCTAGATTATGAATTACTGGAGCTATATACAGATAAGGCAGGAACCACTTAAAGCAATTAACAGGACAATCCCTCCAATTATCAAGGTTTTAATAGTTTTCAGTTTTAAGTTCTGGTAAGTACAAGTGAATTTATACTTATTAATTTTCTTAAAGCTATTGCTTAAAATTAAATTTTGATCTAAATCAGGAATTCTATAGCGAGAACTCTAAAGACAGAAGTATATAAACAAGCTTTAGAAAAAATATGAAGCCATGCACAGTGGCCCATGCCTGTAATTCCAGCACTTTGGGAGGCCAAGGTGAGTAGATTAGTTGAGGCCAGGAGTTCAAGAACAGCCTGGTAATATTGTGAAACCCCATCTCTACAAATAAATAAATAAAAATAAAATAAAATTAGCCAGGTGTGGTGGCATGCACCTACGGACCCAGCTACGAGGGTGGCTGCTGCACGAGAACTGCCTCAACTGGTGGAGGTTGCAGTGAGCAACAATCATGTCACTGCATTCTGGCCTGGGCAACAAAGCAAGGCTCTGTCTCAAAAAAGAAATAATAATATGGTAGTCCCACTTTATCTATGGTTTCTCTTTCAGCATATGGTTTCAATTACCTGTTGTCAACCACAGTCTGAAAATATTAAATGGAAAATTCCAGAAGTAAACAACTCATAAATCTTAAACTGCTTGCTTTCTGCATAGTGTGATGAAATCTCATGTCATCCTGCTCACTCATGCCTGGGATGTGAATCATCCCTTTGTCCAGCATATCCACACTGTAGATAGTCCCAGCCCCTCAGCCCATTAGTCACTAGCAGCCATCTTGGTTATCACATCAACTGTTGCATTCTATTTGTGCTTGTGCCAAGTAACCCTTATGTGACTTAACAATGCCCCCAATGCCCAGGAGTAGTGACGATGGCAATTCAAACATGCCAAAGAGAAGTCATAAAATGGTTCTTTTAAAGTGAAAAGGTGAAAGCTCTTGACCTAAGGAAGGAAAAAAATCATATGCTGAGGTTGCTAAGATCTGTATAGTAAGAACACATCTTCTATCTGTGAAACTCTGAAGGAAAAGGAACTTTGTGCTGGCTCTGCTATCAAACCTGAAACTGCAAAAGTTACGGCCACAGTGTGTAGTTAAGATGAATGAAAAAGACATAATTTGAGGTTGGAAAACAAGAACAGAAACATGTTCCAAATGACAGCAATCGGGCCTGGCATGACCTGCAGTTTCAGGCATCTACTGGGGGTCTTGAAACGTACTCCTTTCAGGTAAGAAAAAGTTACTGATTAAGATCAGTAAGGCAAAGAGAAAGCACTAAAAAAGGTTCCCCATACATTTATTATATCCTCTACTACAAAAATGAGGATATATACCTCATCTCTCCTAGAGTCAAGACTAAATGAAATGCAAGATGTGAAAGCACATGGCTCATACACTTTAAATAGTTTCTTCCTTGTAGGTGCTAATAAATGTTCACTGAATGAGTGGTACTTCCTGGAAGACAGAGGATATGTCTCATTTTTTTTTCCTCCCACTTAGCAAAATGCTCAGGTATAGAATAAGACAATCATCTTGAATGAGTAAGAATAATTAATATACCACTAAACGTTATTAGTCACACAATGCCCAACCTCATGGGTTCTCTATAGCATGGGCTCAAGCTATATTATTCAACTCTATCCACAAGTTAGTCAAAGGCACCTGGCCTTCCTGCTCCTTATCTTTCTTCATAGGTACAACTTCCTTCTCCATTCCCAAGGTCAGCCTGAATTGGTAGTACTTCCACTTCCACCGAAAGCCTTTGCTCAACAGAGTCTCCTTCTTTAGAAATCCAGTAATGCTAAGTATCAAACTGCATTTGCTTAGAAAGGATCTTCTGTAACCCTAATAGCACTTAGTATCCTCCCAATTCACTGACTTTAGTAACCAAAAAGTGATAACCTTAGAAATCAAAAGCCAGTGAGCAACAGAGCAAAAATCTGTCTCTACAAAAAAATTTAAAAATTGCTGGACCTGGTGGCAGGATCACTTGAGCCCTGGAATTCGAGGCTGCAGTGAGACATGATCTCACCACCGCACTCCAGCCTGGGCAACAGATGAAGACGTTAAGACTCTGTCTCAAAAATAAAGAAGAAAGTATTGACCCCCATTTTAAGTCTCTTTCAAAATACCCTGAAAACTTCAGTGATTATAATAAAAACATTATATGGCATTATGAGAAAATAATGTTAAAAATACTCATAATGATTAACATCTTGTTATTTAACTCAACTGGAGACAAAAGTGTGTCTTTTAACAAAATGGAGAAAATTAGGTAAGTTTTTCAAAAAGAATAAAGAAAAAGCTGATTTCCAAAATGTCATGAGATTTAAAGATTTGAGTTTGCTACTTCTCTATATGCTGTGAGTGGTTCATTCAGGACCATCAAGTGTTTTTGATGTTCTAAAGGGGAACAAATAAAAATGGAGCTGCCATTAATTTCAGACAGAACAATGTACCATAACCTAAATTTGTCAAGAATTCATAATACAGACGTTTCAAAAATGTGAAGGGGATTTTCCCGTCTCTGATAACCATGAAGGTGTAGAATAAGAGGAATAACATAAGTACTTTTTGAAGGAAGGCAAAAAATCTTGGGAAAGCAAGGCTTACCTATCATTTATAGGCAGCAGGGCTCTTGAAGGAGGGTCTCCAAAAAAGACGCCTGTCACAGAGCCAGAATTCTGTCCTCACAGCAGAAAGGTTGTACTGGGTGAACAGATGAACAAAATAAAAATTAGCTTAAAATACACTATTCTTTCAACAACTTGGCTGAGAAAACTCAAAATGCCAAGAGAAAAGAATGTGTAAGTCTAGTTATATTTCACAGAAGATTATGAAAGCAAGTTTAAATGGATTTTAGTATGGTGATTATTCAACTCTGCCTTCCAACAAAAAGTTTTAATAGTTTATACAGATTTTTGCAATTCCTCTGATCAATGTGCAAGGAGATATTTTACATTTTTAAAGCACAATCTGAAAGAACTAACAAAACTTTCACATTCACCTTATCGCTACCAGATAATCCCCTGCATGGTCCAAATAGATAGTTTATCAAAAATTATAATGGAGTTTCTCTGACTTGGCATATACTGTAGGATGGCACATTCATCAACCCACTTTTGATCTGCCTTCCTCTTAAGTTAAGAAGGCTGATACTTAGATCTCAAGCTTCTCTTGCAGTTGGGTGGGCAGATGACATCTCAAGCTTCTCTTGCAGTTGGGTGGGCAGATGACAAAGTGCTGGCTGATGCCATGTATATGGAGATTTCTGGCAAAAGCCATTTCATTCAGGAAAAAAGCCAAAACCATCACTAGAAGAAAACGTTTTGCTCTTCCTTACCTGGAACATGAATACAATGTCTAAAGGTAAAACAACCACCTTGTGATCATGAGGTTAAATGCCATATGCTAAAGATGAGACATCAGGAAAGGATGGTACCCACATCCTCCAGACCTTTCTTGAGCTGCTATACTGGTGTTAGAATTGCCTGTCTGTAGGCTTCTTGTAATAAACGAAAAGTGAAGTCCTATTTTGAACATTATTAGTAAGGCTGAGAATTATTTCAGCAGAAAACATTCCTGATAACATATGGGAACAGCCAGATAAATTCTAAATACTAATAAAGTAAAACTCCATAGTTTGTTTCATACTTTCTAGAGATATATGTATGCTATAAAAACACTAGAAAATAAAAACTGAAGAAAGAAATATGAGGACAAGATGAAGAAGGAAAAAGAATATGCTTTTAAAGGGTCTGAAAGACTGTCAGAATTGTTTTGTTCAATAGGCACTGTTTCCCTTCTTTTTACTCTACTCTGCAGTAATTTCTCTATGCCTCAAGGTTGACACCTGTGAACAGCATGACCAAATGTGGTTTAACCTCACTGGCTCATGGTTTGGCTCTGTGTCCCCACCCAAATCTCACCTTGAATTGTAATAATCCCCACATGTCATGGGAGGGGCCCAATGGAAGGTAAATGAATCATAGGGGCAGATTTTTCCTATGCTTTTCTCATGATAGTGATAAAGTCTCACAAAATCTGATGGTTTGATAAAGGGGAGTTGCCCTACACATGAACTCCTGCTTGCTGCCACGTGAGGCGTGACTTTGCTCCTCATTCGCCTTCCACCATGATTGTCAGGCCTCCCCAGCCAAGTGGAACTGTGAGTCAACTAAACTTCCTTCCTTTATAAATTACCCAGTCTGGGTTATGTCTTTATTAACAAACAGCATGAGAACAGCCTAATACATTCATTTTAGCAATCCTGCCATGCAGAAGCTAATCCAACATAGGAATCACCTGATTTTCATAATCAGTTTAGAGAAAATAACCTGTTTATTTTCCTATTCTCTCATTTAAAAAAAAAGTCCACCACTTCCTTCCCAATTGCTTTCCTTTTACTGCCCTAAAAAGCCAATGTCCAAGAGACAAGCTAATGAGGAAATTCCAAATAGCTCTTTTATGAAGGAATTTCTTTCTGAAGTTCCTCTCAGAAAGAGTATCCTCTATTATTTAATTACAAAGAAAAGAACTGCAGAACTATTGTGAATCACTCACTGCATATCATAAAAACGAGGTACAGGTATAGAAAACCTCAAAAAAATGCTTTAGCAATTATCAGCTAATATGCTAAATCTGACATTTTCTTTTAAATTACTTTAAAACTGTCAATTCAATTAACTATATGGCTTTCAGTGATTTTATTTTAATATTGAATTTACTTATCAACACCCTAGTCTTCTATACATCTAAAGTGACATATGAAATGAGCAGGCAAATAAACACAATTTAACCACACATAATTAGCCAAAGGACAACTACAAACTAACTCTGCTTCTGTAAGATGTCTTACTTCAACAATGAATGGAGTATATCAAAATCCTCATTTTACAGAGGAAACTGAAAAAGTAAAATCAGCCTACCTCAATTCACAGTTTTTTACTCCAAGAAAAACAGAACAAGAAGCTGATCTTAATGAATATGAGTATTTTATTTATCTTAATGAATAAGAGTCTTTAAGAAAAATCTGTTTCAGGAAATAAAACTATCAATTCAATAATTTTCTATCATAAAAAAATCTACAAGCAATCCGTAACTTTTGTCACTAACCTGCAACTTTTCTTCATGGCTTCTTAGAAAAGAGGTCCTTTCATAGTAATGACCAAAAATAGCTCCATTTATGAAGTTCCTAACATGGCTGCACTTAACGGAGTCTGAATAAGGAAAAACAAAGTTGCCACAGATATACTGTTCCTCCTGCCAGAACTTACCTATCAAAGCCCTTTCACAGAAACTGAATCAGCAATAAAAAGCTGAAGGCAGTGCTAAATTTAAAGGGTCTTTAGAGCAACAGTATCTATGCTTGCTGGGAGGACATATACCAGATAAAAAGGCGGGGGGAGTGAACAATTTCTCAGTCCAATTGTTTTTTTTTTTTGAGACGGAGTTTTGCGGCCTCCACCTCCCGATTTCAAGCAATTCTCCTGTCTCAGCCTCCAGAGTAGCTGGGATTACAAGCATGTGACACCACGCCCAGCTAATTTTATATTTTTAGTGGAGATGGAGTTTCTCCATGTTGATCAGGCTCAGTTCAAATTTCATTGAAATTTTATAAAATCTGTCAAGTACTAGCAAAGGTAGGAAAAAAAATCCCTCTAATAGAATTAAGACGTAGCTTTTGTATCACGTGATTTCATATACCTAATGTTTGTAAAAGCATCTTTAAGTGTTCTTCTCTCATAGATTTTCATCAATTGACCTGGGTTTCTAGCCACAGACCCTACATTAGGGCACTACAGGAAGTAAAGCTTTGATTTATAGTGAGATGGTTCCACTCGCGATTATTATCCTGAAACTGATATGGGTATAAATCAGGTATCATCTGCATACACCGAGTTCAACTACCTCTACTTAGAAGTTAGGGACAATAATTTGGAAAGTGAATTTTTAAAATGAGTGTACAACACCCTCACTTTTTAACCTGCACCTAGTAATGACAGGAAGATTCCATCTAGAAATTTTACTTGCCATAAGACATCATCTTAATTCTAATAATAGTAGCAACTAATACTTACATAGTACATGCACCAGGCGCTGCTCTGAGTATTTTAAATAAAATCCTTTAATATAACCCAATCAGGCTAATACTATTATCACTCCCCATTTTACAGATGGGAAACTGAGGTAGAGAGTTTAAATAACTTGCCTATAATCATATAGTAATAATCGGATGTAGAGGTGGGATTTGAACTCAGTTTCCAAAGCGCATGCTAATGTCTCTATGAAAAAATTAGGTATTTATATTCTATGACAACGTTGCATGCTTTAACTCTGCCCATAAAGAGTTTAGGAAACAGAATGGCACATAGTAGACAATCAAATATTTGCTGAATGAAGATGCTATTACTTTAAAATGTTTCATTATTATGTATATACATATAAACAAACATGTTTCCTCCCAAATATCCAATTGACCTCACATAATTAGCCAAAGGACAACTACAAACTTACTCTGCTTCTGTAAGATTTTTACTTCAAAAATGAATAGAGTACATTTGACTATACAGTTCAAAATCCTCATTTTATAGAGGAAGCTGAAAAGGTAAAATCAATCTACCTAAATTCAGTTTTGTCAATCTGAGCACCTTAGTGCCCAGATTATTTTCCTTCATGCCAAATACATATTAAGGTGTTTGTGAAGCACCTGCTAGATTTGTAACCATCTTTCTTAAATGATGAAGCATTTCATACTTAGCTTTACAGAAGTCTTTATAAAATTTAACGTTATAAAACAAGCATGAATTTTAAATAACTCAAGACTTACATACTAAACACACACATATCACCTAATGCCAGCGTTCACTATATTTTTATTCCGTCTAATTCAGTAGAGACGATTCCCTCCTTGTCTTGCCCCAGGGACATTTGGCAATGTCTGAAGAACATTTTTGGTTGTCACAAGGGGTTCTTGGGAGTGTCACCCACAAATAATAATTGTGGCCCAAAATGTCAAGTTGACATTATCCAAGTCCCTAAGGCAAGGTTGATTACCCAATCTATAGGGCAAATTCTGACCTCTGAAGGAAAAAATCGAAACATTAAAATAGAGACTACTAAAACACCATCAACAATAACAGAAACCTATCTCCTATATCCACTCTTCATGATTCATTTGATCCAAGAGGTTAACCCTTTTATTTAATTGCTTCAACAGATGTCTTCTTCAAGAAGTTTTATTTTGGAAACTAAGTATTCTCAACTTTTACAAATACTCCCAAATATAAGAAAATGACAGGCATTCCTAAGTAATATAAAACGTATTCACTGATCATATAAACTTCAAAGGCTGTTTATTATTCTCATTAATCTCCAAAAAGTTGAGGGCAAAAAGACCCTTTTTTGAAAAAACAGTAAAATGATTCAAGTCAATTACAAAATGTTAATATGTTATGAAAAAAATCATCAGAGAATCTGCTCCTATTGTTCCTATTCAGGATATACACCACTCCCGCCTCCCTTCCCATTTATCTACTCTAGTCTTCAAAGTCCAGCTCAAGGCCCACTTCAAATCCAGTCCACACCAACCTCACTCTTTTCTGACT